CCTCGGGGAGCGTTGCGGCCACTGGTCGTACCTTCCGAGCCACCTTCTTGTAGGCCAGCACCTCGATTGCCATCCCCGTTTCTACTTTGAACACCTCCTCCTCCTCCCATCCGTCTTCCTCCTCCGCCCCATCTCCAGACTCATACTCTCCTTCCGTTGCGTTGCGATCTCCCTCCGCCCGCTCGAAATCCTCCCCCGCCGATTCGTAGTCTTCTTCCGCCGGCTCGCAGTCCTCCTCCGCTGACTCATCGTATCGTTCTCCATCCCCACGCGCTCCTCCCGCCGGCTTGTCTCGACATCCTTCAGTCTCGTCGATAGTCTCTCTGCCTCCCACATCCCCATACTGAGCAACGGTCTCGTGTATTGCGTCGCTAAAATCCAAGGATTCATTACAACTCGGGAAATGGGTATCTGCAGAGTCCATCGACGATCCATAGTCGCTAAGCCTGTCGGTAGGCGCTCCCGTTCCTTCCGCACCCTCTCCGTCCCAGACATATACTGAATAGTGGCCCATAAGATCGTCTCCGCTCGCGTTGCTTGCATCATCGACTTCTAAAAATCCTCCGCGGGAGGATCTTCGGCCGGGCGTCCCTCACTCTTCTTCTTCGACCCCGCGCAGCGCTCGAAGGACGGTACCATCACGCGGCGGTTGCTCTGCGGATCGGTAAGGACGACCGTCTGGCTTCCGTCCTTGAAGTCCCGGGTCTCGCAACAGCTCGCGGCGAAGAAGGGCCGGCCCAGGAGCACCTCGAAAGGAGCGTCCCTTACCACCTGGACATTCATGACGATCTTTACCTCGTCGTCGAACACGAACTCCATCCCGATGGCCTTCCCTATCGTCCGAGTGGTCGTCTTGTTCGCGCTTTCCATTACGCATCCTTCGTCGGGGCGAAGACTCCCTCCGACGCGCTCCCAGATATCCTTCCGCATCAGGACCATCTGTGCCCCTGAGTCCAGGATGCACGCCGCCCTTCCGACGCCATTGATCAGCGGCCGCAGCTCCCGCAGCGTCAAGGAGTCCCAGTACCCGCTGTCGAATACGTTCCCTCCGCTAGACAGCTCGGTGGTCCCCACGTTCCACACCGCTTCCTCCGCCATGCCGGCGACCTGCACACGTTGCGTCTTGATCTGCTCGTCAACTACCTTCCGAAACTCCTGGCTGATCTCGAGAATCTCGCCCCAGCTCGCCTTCTGATCGCTCTCGTACATCATCCGCCGTGCCAGATCTTCGGCCTTCGCTCGAGGGTCCTTTCCCTCGTTGATCTTCGCCTGGAACCGATACTGTGGTTCGGCCGTCCGCCCTTTCCCCTGATCCCTCGCCACCGGGCCTCCTCCGCTCGTTCCGGCTGATACCCCCTTTGCTGGGATGCCCGGCGGCTTCCCAACCGCCCCGCGCACAGTTCCTCCGCTGGGCTTGCTTCCGCGCGCATCCTCTTCCGCTGGAGGATCCCTAAAAGATACCTTCTTCCCTCCTCCGCGCACTCGAGCCGCCTCCGCCGCTAAGACACGTGCACGTTCCTCTAAGTCCTCGGCGCGCCTGAGTGAGTCCTCTTCCTCGGTCGTCTCCTCGACCGTATATCCTTCGACGATCTCTACAATGTTCGCTCCTAGATGCGGCGGCCCATCCCGAATCTGCCCGTCGTTCCCTCCGACGTTCCCTTGCTGCTGCGGCTGCCCTCCGTTCCCTCCGCCGGCCAAGTTAGCCATCCTGGCCTCGATAGCGTCGATCAGGAATCCGCCTCCATACCGCGACACAAAACCCCCATCGGGGAAGCGTATCTTCTGTTCGTCATCGAGCCTGATCTTCCCCGCACGGAGGTATTCCCCGACTTTCCTACACTCGCGCAGGAAGTGTCCTATCTCCCCGCAGAAGTTGCATGTCCTGGTCCCGAACCCTCCACCTCCGCTGTACCCTCCGCCTCCGCCGCCATACCCTCCGCGCCCAGGTCCTTGAGGCTGGTATCCGAAGACCGGTCCTCCCCGACCCGTTCCTCCGCCGTACCCCCCGCTATTGTAGTTCGCGCTCGTGTAGGCTCCTCCGCCATAGTTCCCCGCTCCGTACCCTCCTCCGCCGTAGTTTCCGGCAGTGTACCCTCCTCCGCGGCCTCCTCCGCTTCCATGCGTCTGCTGGAGTGCCCCTAGCGCCGCCACGAAGGCTCGGCTCAGGGCTTCCTCCGTCATCGGTTCCTGCTTAACGCCAGATGACCCCCCTCCTCCGCCGGCTCCCGCACCGGTACCCCCACCTTGAGTGTTGCCTCCGCCGCCGTAGCTGACCGCGCTGAGACACTGCTGCGCTGCCCCATGCAGCTGCTCAAGGCTGTATCCTTTCGCGGGGTCGACCGTAGAGTTGACAATCTCGACCCTCCGACGGATCGCGTCCGCCGACTTCGTGTCGAATCCGGAGAGGTACTTCTGGTGCACCTGCGACTTAGACACCAGCCCTTCCGTCATTAGGTAGCGGGCCACCGGAAGGAACTTTCGATAGAACTCTGCCTCCCCACTGCGCGTGTCCGTCCCGGCACTCAGCCCGGCCGCCGCAATTGCGTCCAGATCGGTTTCTAGATATTTGGATGCTCCGTCCGACCCAGGGTACAGCTTCACGATCCCCTCCTTATACTGCTCGAACGTCGGGTTGTCGGGGACGGTTACAGTGCCCCACAGCTCATACTGATCGGGGTTCAGGTACCTCTGAGCGTACCGAATCTTCTCCTCGTCGACGGTGATGTTCGCGAGCCCCAGAAGATCGGAGACGTCCTCGAAGTAACGCGCGAGCGACCGGGGCTGATCATCGAATTTCGGAGCAATGCGATCCCTGCGGACGGGCATACTGCGTGGCTGGATAGCGGCCATTTTATTTTCTGGTTGGGCGGAAGGAGTGCGGAGGAAAGGGGAACGAGCTCGAGACTCGTCGGAGGGAGTAACAGATGAGACGGAGGAAATTGTCTCCGATATGTCGGAGGGAATTGCGAGATACGGGTTTAAAGGGACTACGAACAGGGGTATGGTTTCGTCGACAGGCGACGATGGCAGTGATGCGTATATTGAGACGGGTGATTCTGGAAGTGGAACATTGATGGGATATGGTGAGGGAGGAAGCGGAACCGAGGCCGGCACCGATACGGGGCTGCCCACTGACTTGGTCGAGGAGGAGAGCGCGGACGGGGTAGAGTATGCTCGCCGCCGAGGTACGTTTGCTAATGGGATCGACTCGCTCGACGCTGAGCTTCGAGTTGGTGATGATGCAGGTGCGGAGGTGAGGGTGCTGTCAGCCGGATCGAGGAACGGGTTCTCTCCGTCACTGTCGTCAGCGTGCGGAAGGGGAATGCCGTCTAGTGCGGGTACCCTGAGCGATGGGTCGTACGGCGAGTCCGGGGAGTGATGTACGATAGCGAGCTCCTCGAGTAGACTTCTCGTAGGGGTGCGAGGCTCTGAACGATTAGGGACGGTAGCGAGAGTTTTCGCTCGGGACCGTGTGATAGGCAGGATGACGTGGCACCCGGGGTTGGGTCAACAAGATTTTACCAACGAAATCCCCCTCGCGGTGGGCTCCAGTTGTGGTGATTGCGAGTCCCCGGTGCGTGGACGACGCGGAAGGGAATTCTTGGTATCGGTGAAAACGATGGGCGGGGGTCGTTGGTACCAGTTGACGGTTGGCGGAGGAAGCGAGCGAGGTCCGTGGTACCTCGCGGAGGGAAAAGGGGGAATGGGGAGGTGTGCCGCACGCTTCGTCCGCGCTGTCCTTTAGTGAAGACTGCCTTTCCTGAGCCTGGTATACTCGATAGCCTTCCCTCCGACGTTCCTAACCTGAGTTCTCCTCGATCCTGAGCCTGAGCCTAACTTATGCGACCTTCCTTAGCCTGAGCGCGAGCCTGAGACGAGACCTGAAGCCTGAGATTGCCCGGCGCAACCTAGATACTGAGTCCTGAGAGGTAGTGGTAGGTGACTAACTCCTCCCTCCCTCTCCCCCCTAAGTCTCCTCCCGCCGCCGTTTTCCCACGTCCTACCCTCGCTGGCACCCGTTCCTCTCCTCTCCCGTTCCTTCCGCACCCGCCGCGTCTCCTTCCGACCCCTCGCCGTGCCCTTCTCCAGCTCCTTCCGCCCCCTCCGCCTCCTCCCGACGCCTCGCCATACCCTTCTCCAGCTCCTTCCGCTCCCTCCCCCTGGCTCTCAGTGTTTCCCCACCGTCTGCAATGCCCGCCGATGCTCCCCCGAACCCGTCCACCATCGTCTTCACCACCCGGTTCTACCGCCTCATCGATCTTCTCCGTGACGAACGCGTAGTCGAGCCTCGTCTGAACCCCGATAGCGACCACGAGTGGCTTGCCTGGGCCCACGGAGCTCGGTGGTTAATCGTGCGTCTTTCCCTTCATCCTGATTCCTGATCCCCCTCTAAGCCGTCCTCCCCGCAGCGAATGCTCTTCGACTCTCGTTCCCGTGCAGTGGCCCACGGCGATGCTTCCCTTCCGCTCGTCCGCCGCTATCCCGACGTGCAGGAGCTGATCGAGTACCTCGACCAAGTCTTCCTCACTCTTCCGTCGCAGCATAGCTACGTGGGCGAACCCTTCCCTTTGATTGCCTGGGCCCCGAATCGGGTCACCGCCGAGCAGGCTGACGCAGAGATTGGTCGTCCCCTCCTTCCGGTTCGCTACTTGGAGCGTCCCTTACAGCTCTCGTCCTACCGCGCTTCGTCCGACAGCCTCGACAGCCTCCTTACTCGGTTCCAGGGCCTCCTAGACGAGTGCCGCACCGCTAACCGCGACGCTCGTTCCGAAGCTGTTCGTATCGCCCGAGGCCTGAATACGGTGGAGGGCGGTGTTCGCGACTTGCACGCCCGCCTGTCGGAGGGAGTCTACGTCCCGGACGGCTACTCTGGGGTACCTCGCCGCCTGCGGTTCGCGCCGGTTAGGGATGTCGATGATCTGGAGGAAGGAGAGGTTGAGGACGCCATGGGGGAGGAGCCCGTTGTCCATGTACTGTAGCCGTCTTCCTCCCGCGTGTTCTTATATTGGTTGTCCTTCCGCCGAGTCGTCCTTCCGCCAATGGATGTCGCTTCGCTCCGCATTGCCTGGGCCTGAGTGCGTGTGTCGTTCCGGGCTCGTACCGCTGTTCCCATGTGGGCCTGCCCCACACCGTGGCAGGGTGTCCGAGTTCATCGGTGTTGGCGAAGAACGTGATCGTGAAGGTGTCCGTAGCATGGACAACGTGGTCGTTCACGGTCCCGGGGGCGCCCGCTTTGGTGAGTATGCGGTCGACATGCTTCCGGAAGTCGTCGTGGGACCAGAGCGTGGTCTTGATCCGTTTGAGGATCGCGTCCTCGTTGTCCTGATCCACGCAGTCACCTGCAAAATTGCAGATGACCCAGGAAGGCGGTGTCGCCTCGATTTTGGTGACGCTGAACGCGAGCTTCTCGCTGATAGCGAACGTCTGCTGGTAGAGGAGGAACTCGCGGAGCCTCGGCGACCCCCCTGTGAGGAACATCGCCCAGGGCTTGCTGTAGCGGTCTCTCGCGTTGCCCGGTCCATTCTTGATGGGCATGACGACTTTCAGCCCCTTGGTGTCGGGGTTCTTGTCGTCTTGGGCACGTAGTGCCGCCTCTACTTGCTCAGGGGTCCCCGTCTCGATGATGGCGGCGAGGGTCTCGTCATCCATGTCCGCGTCCGGAGCCTCGTCCTCGAAACGTAGGGTCTTCATGAAGGAGAGGACGTCGCGGTTGATTCGGGGTTGTTCCCTGAAGAGGCTGGCGCCCCCTCCATAGAGCAGGACAGCGAGGAACTCGTCCGGGGCCTCCTTGATCACCTTCGCTTGCTCGTCGCAGACGTTGGCGATCAGCTTGTCGAGTGGGATGTAGAGCCGGTCATACACGGCGTCCGTGTATGCGACGCGGGTGGTGGGGGTGGCCGTCGAGGGCTCGACGTCTCTTGTGCGTTTGCGGTGGGGGTCCTCGTCTACGCCCTTCGGTGGGGCTAGCGGGTTTGGCCACGGGTACGATTGCTTCTCGTTCGCGGCTACGGTGAGGGTGCGCTTCGGGAGGCCTCGAAGTGCGCGTGGGTTCATTACGGAGTCGCTTTCTAGTGTCGTGGAGTCATGCTCACGATCGGGTTCGGCAGTCGTCTGCGCTGGGGATCCTCCCTTCTCGTTCCTGCTCCGCTTCACCGTTCTCTCCGTCTCGCTCGTGCCCGTCTTGGGCGTAGGGTCGTCCGGCGACGGGGTCATGTCGGGTCAAGGGAGGAGCGCGTTGTCTCGGGAGCGTATGGCTTGGGGGAGCTGCTCGAGGGGGAGGTGTTTCGGTTCGCCTCAGGATATCAGCGGACGTTTTCAACCGCCGTTTTGCGCCATTTCTGTGGGCGCTGTCATGGCGGCGGTTGTGCTTTGTCGTCCGGGCGAAACGTGCGCCGTGGTCGTTGTGTTTCGTGGTAGCGTTTCGTAGTCTCCGTAGCTGACCAAAAAGAGATACTCTCGTTTTTGGTCTGCAGCGAGACGCGCCGTCCATATAGGGCCTGCGGTTTAGACTTATAAGGCAACTAGTGACTTCACCTCGCGCGCAGATCAGACAGGCGTCAACTCATGCTCGTGGCCCAAAAATGAGGCGAACTAGCACGATTTATCATCCGTACGAGTGTACATATAGTCTACAGAATGAATGATGTATTTGAGAGATGTCTACCAACAGTACTGCCATCAACTTCGTGTTCAGAGATGGACATCGCACATCTAGTACTCAGTCTGCCTCGGCAGCCGAACCCTCAGGCTGCTGTCTTTGCGGACAATCATTCCAAGCAGCTCGTCAGCCACGACGCACAGACAAGGAGAAGCTCAATATCATGTTGAGGGTCCTCAGCCAGCTGAGCTGGACACTCGGTGAATTCTTGTACAACTTGTTCAGGTCGAAGGATGACAATGGCGAGAAGATCCAACGCGACGAACCACACCGGACAATGATCGCCCGCTTCCTCAGTGGAAACACGAAACATACATTTGTGGAGATGGTCCAAGCAATCATGGAAGACACCGCAGGACTCCCCAAGCAATCGGATGACGAGAGTACATACATGTACTCACAGAACCATCCATCCCTCGAGATCAAACATGCGCGACCTGCGCTTACAACGATGGCCGTCGAGCTTGTGACCAAGGAGATGGTGCGGGAGATGAACACAACTGTAAAGAGTGTGAATGGGCTGCACGGATCTGCAGTGCCGTTGAGGCGAGGAGGCAGGATGCATCTCAGGTGGCAAGACATCAGCACTTCGACAGTGGAGACAACGAAGACCATACTCAGTACACACAGCCCCCTCGCCTTTCATTTCCTGCTTCGGCTCGCGACCCCTCCAGCACGGACTGCCACAGACACACAGTCTCCCGAAGGTGTAGTCATCGCAACTCGCAGAATCCGTCCACCCAAATTGGTGCGTGTACTGTGTCCACTGTGTTGGTATCAGCAGTGCTTACAAATGATGTGGGCATTAGACAGTTACCGAGGTTCTGAGCGATGTCGCATACTGCAGGACGTACAGTGCCCGCTTGCTACCCGTCGCGCGAGGAATTCTGTACTTCGCATGTGGCGCGCAGCTGTCACTGTTCAACTACAACAGCCGGACAGGTCACACACCGAGTTGGAGTACCGTGATTGCGACGTTGAAGCGTCTTGCCGACAGTGCACGGGAGGAGCTGCGGGAGATGGGAAAGAGTGAGACGCAGGCCCTGGTGATGCGGATGGATAATGTCCAGAAGTATCGTAAACAACGCGAGCAGAGGATCGGTCGGAGGAACGAGATGGATGTTGGTCTTGCGGCCACAGTTGCGGAAGCCAAGGACTTCACGGCGGATGCTCTAGACCTGGGTGATAAACTCCGTCGCATTGCCGAGAACGAACGTTCGACACTCACTGTTCCCAAGCTGTTGAACATGATTGATCTCGATCACTACGAGACTGTCAGCGCACTACAATGGCTGCAGACCCTCGTGTACTCCATTCCACAGCTCAACTGCCACAAATCAGCCCTCGAGAAACTCAACAAGACGGAAGGGGCAAAGCTGCGCGTACCTAAACAAAAAACGGCCCTGCATCCCCTCGCCACAACACGCAAAAACGAGAACGTCATGACGGAGTTGCGTGATGCACTGGTCGACTTCATGGAGCAGGTGGGACAGGAGGAAGAAGATTATCAGCAGCGGCTTCTGTTCATTGGAGGCGATGGACTCACCTTCGAGAGGCTACAGCAGATCAAGCAATATCTAGACGACCAGACGACTGCCTACCGCCGTTTCGATATCATCATGCCATTCCTGGAAATCTGGCATACTATCTGGACACATCTCAGTTCAGTATTCGAGACTCACTGGGGCAATGAACTCACGAAAGACCCCTCGAAGCTTGGCCACAGTGCTCATAAGATCGGGCAGAAGACGCCATCAAATCTAAAGAAGGTCGATTATTACGCTGCGTCGCACCTGTTGTATCTTGTGCTCGACACACGGATACTCATTGCTGGAGGTGAGCATGTCAGATTGTTCAGCTGACTTGCACGAGAGACTCACCAATTGATTCACCAGAATTCTCCTCGGTGCCGAAGACATCTTCGAGCATTTTGCTCAGATGGACTCGGACACAGTGCCCTCGCTTGATAGGCTTTTCACACAGGCCCGAGTTCTGCATCGGCGCTATTCGAGTCGCGAAGCATACCACCGTGCGCGTCATGGCCAGAAGGCGCGAGACAGCGACACCACAATACCTGTGGGTCGCCCATGGAGTGCACCTAGTGAAAGTTCGTCAGCAAACATCGACAACAGGGGTAATAATGCCACCCGACCACCACAGGATAGCGCAGACTCGGACTCACGAGATGCATTCCAAGGCGATGAATGCCTTGCCGACTCATGCATGTTGATACACGATGGGCTCTTGTGAGCCCATCTAGCTAAACACCCTGTTGTTACCCGGCCAACCGACGTGAGATTCACTTATCGTTACCCGGTCACCCGACGTCGGCCGACGGTTTGACTCCGCCGTTAGTGCCCGGGTCGGCCGATGCTCAGACTTTCCGGCCGGCTGCGTGTCGGCCGACGCGTCAAACTGAATGAGCACCTCCGGGTCGGCCGCCCACCACAGGTTGTTAGCTCCTTACATTGGCTGCTGACATCCCTCGCCGGTCGGCCGAGAATGAGATTCCTATCTCCAGCCTCAGCGGCCGACGGTCAGAAATCCCTTGTCCACCCGGGCGGCCGGCGGTACGACCGGGCGGTCTATACCTGGTCGGCCGACCAGCGGGTGGCGTATTCGTCCCGCGGCGGCCGCGCGTTGGATAAACCATGGTAGTTTTCCCGGCCGCCCTGCTGAGGATCTACAGTCATTCTCAACCCAATCAGTGTCGCCTGGTGGGCCGATACCTTCCCTTGGCAATCATGCCGTAACAATACATCGGGGCGGTGGCACGTCGGCCGGAGAGTTCTCCAACAATAAGAGACTCACCATTATGTCCCGGTCGGCCGAGTCTGCTAAGAATGGCTTTCATGGTGCAGCAGCCGATGCACACAAGGCGATGCCGCTCTCCTTACTTTGTTGCCTCGGCCGGCATGAGGTATGTTGGATGCTGTCAGTTCGGCCGGGATGTGAGATTCCGGATCCCTATCGAGTCGGCTGAGACTCGAGCTGATCCGGAATCTCACATCCCTTTTCCTGTGGCTAGGGCGGTCAGTGGTTTCTCAGACCGCCGGGAAGCTAGGGGGGCGGGGCACTAGCATTGCTTTCCGACCGGCTGACATGATACACTGCAGCCATACCGAGTCGATCCCCACTGTCTCAAGCATCATCAGCGAGCCGGTTAAGGCTGCAAGCAATATATAATACACAACGGTTATCTAATTTCCACTACTTTTTATCTGCGCCGCAGCGCTCCTTCAGCCTCAGCAGCATTTCCCCGCCTTGCCTGTTTGCCTTCCTCATTTCTCGCAGTGCCTCCAATCGCGCCTTCACGACATTGCTCTCCTGCATCTGCCGTCGCAGCATCGTCGGAAGGGGGCCTTCGTATGTGGGACCCCGGACGATCCCGTGGGCAACTGTGGCACATATGAGAGACAACGGAATGCTCCATATGGAATCGGCCTACCTTGGAATTCCTCCTCCTCCGGCGATACTGCGGTGCGCCACGGCCCGGGCCACTCGCTGGGGGACTGCGATCGCCCGGCTGCAGAGGAATTCCCCCGGAATGGAGAACTGCTACCTGGAATATGAATCAACTTTGTGAGAAAGCCGCCACACCAGCGGATCGACCACCCCGCCCGCCACCGGACGCCCGCCCCCGGACGCCCGCCCCCGGACGCCCGCCCCCGGACGCCCGCCCCCGGACGCCCGCCACCGGACGCCAGAAGTAGACTGGCTGTTCAAACGACTCACCTTCACCAGTGTTCGAACCCGACGGACCAGCAACATGTTCAGACCCGGCGGAGTCATGGGCCGGGCTACTGCTCAACGCACGTACACCCGAGCACTCTTCCACGAGGGGGATAGCCTGCAGTACCCAACTCGTCATCAGTTTGAATGTACCCACCATTTCGATGGCTTACCCTCGATAACGTAGCTTCAAACCGCGGTTCTTGTCCATCCGGGATGCTACCCAGCAAGACCTGTTCAATTCGCATCCCGGCAGGCATCCTAGCTTCATCCCTTGGGCCAGTTGCCCCAAGCCCGAATATGTTTCCGAATCGGGCAGGAACCCGCGGTGGCCCACGACCGGCGGTCATCGTTGTGGGTCCCAGGGAAGGGGAGAACTGCGGACGGCTGGAGGAACGTGCCGGGTGCGGAGCGGCGACAGGCGTAGCCATTCTCGCCGGCCTGGGCGGGATGACTAGCGGTTGCTCGATGCCTCTCGACTCCATTTCCTCGTCACCCGATGACAAATCCAATGGCGTTGCAGCACGGGCAGGGGAGATTTTCGGATATGCAACGGCATGACCAGCCTGGGAAGCTGCGACCGGTGTAGCCTGCGGAGTCGCGACCGGCGTAGCCACTCTTGCCGGCCTGTTCGGGATGAGGAACGGTTGCCCGTCCGCCCCCGAATCAGATTCATCGCCGCTTGATAGGTCGATCGCCGTAGAGAGGACGGAGCCGGTACGACTCGTCTTTGACCCGTGCGTTGATGAACCCGGGCGTGCTTGCCTGCTGGGGATAACAAAAGGGCCCACGGGTCCCCCTACATCCGACTCGCCGTCCGAGTCACCGTCGGACAAATCGAGTGTTCCCGCACGCCCGCTCGATGCCGAGGTGGCAACGGTGCTTGCAGATCTCGACGGCATAGCCAGGGGCTTGTCCAGGGTGTCCAGATCGGAGTCAGTGTCCGACAATACCAGAGCATTCGTCACTCTACTGGCAATGCCAGTGGTTCCGGGCCTGGTCAGGCCAACTGACGGTCTTACCGGCGTATTGCTTTCGGGGTCTGAGTCAGGGCAAATAACTACGGGAGCACCCGGAGGCCTTCGCCGCGGGAGAGGGACAGGCATGACAAACCGACGGCGGGGTGGTGACGCCTGTTTGGTTTCCCCGTCGGAGACGAGCATGGCATCAGCACCGGCACCATTATCTACACCGCCTGACGACGGGCCACCGTCCGGACTTGTGTCCTGCACCCGAGTCAATTGTATTCCGGGTTTCCCGATGACTGTGCTCACCATGGCATCCGGTTCGGTGGGCGGAAGTGTACCGGGTCTCGGTGGGATGATCAGTGGTGCTGACACAGTAAGCCCGAGTCAATGTGGCATCCAGACTACAAGCCATTGCGACCCGACATACCTTGGTCATCCTCGACATCACTGGCATCCTGGGCGGCGTCACCGGGTGAGCGCACCATCCTATGTGAAACAATAAGTATCGACGCACCGACAACGAACCGAGCAAGTCACGCAGCTCCTGCGACCGTGTCTCCTCTGGATTCGCCTGTCCGGACGAAATACCGGCTGGCCCGGATGTAGCGGGTGATCCTGAATATGGCGCTGTTAGGAATGCTTCCAATACGAGTATAAAAGTCACACTTACCATCTTTACGCTTCATAATCGCAACAACTGATTTCGACATGGTTGTAGGGAGCAAGAGGTTGGTTCAGATCTCATCAGTGAGATCGATCGGATGTCCCGCGGCGCGGCTCAGCCACACAGGTCACGTGTCTGTGGCTGCGTTCCCACAGTTCGTCGCTGCCGCTCAATCGTCTCTACCTGAATTCCGTCACCAACGTCCACTTCATTGCCGCCTGTAATCCGCCTGCTTCGCCCATCCCTCGGCTTTCGTTTACAATGTCGTCGACAAACAACCCCGGTCCGGACGAAGACGGCCCTAAGGTAGTGACGATGGAGCAAGTCATGGGATTGTTGGTCCAATGCGAGTCGAAACTCGAAGATTTTGTCAAGGCGGAGAAGATGCCCGAAGCCCAGGATGCGAAAGTAATGCAAAAGATCGTAAGTGTCTTTCTTTATATGCACGGGACATACTGAACATGAGTGTGCGGACCAGTGGAACAAGGTCAAAAAATGGGGGGTGCGTGCATCCGCTGTAGCTGTCCTTGCAGCATTAACTAAAATGTTTGCCAGATCGATGCTGCCAAGGCTCTGTCATCCGCGGCTGCAAACGAGTGGCCGGTGTACGTGCCACCGTTGGTGATCTCCGCGATGGAAGAACTCGCGGCTCAACCGCCATACCCTGACCATCATGGGCGCGTCGCCCGTATCACGCGGGACGACCCGAGAATCCTCCAGAATCCGTGGTATACCCCGCGTGGCCCTCCCATTGTGGCCTCGGGCAAGCCGTCACATGTTGTGGCCTCACCACATCCCCTTCCCTCGAATTCCCGCCCCCAACATGCGGTCGCATTTGATCTCCCTGAAAACCACGAGGACGACATGGCCGTCGACGATTCCGGCGAGCCGGAAGTTAGTCCGAGGCCCACCAACCCCCCATTCCGCCGCCAAGTCACGCCCGTCAGGCCGGCGGCGAGACCGCCCACCCCGCCCACCAAGAAGTCCAACAAGCAGCGGTCAGGTGACGCCGAGCAAGGGGGACAGCGCCCCAAGCCCGGGCCGAAGAAACTGACCAGCACCGCGTCCGCTAAAGCAAAGGGAAAACAACGGGCGCGGAGCGTCGACTTTGCCGAGGACGCGGACGAGGAGCGAGAGCAGGTCACGCGGAAAACAAAGGCGACCCCGGGGACCAAGGCGAAAGGCAAGAAGCAAGCGGACAGCGTCCGCCCTGTGAACGAGGACGAGGATGTGGACAATGTCCTCGTTGTGGACGAGGACGAGGAAGCGGAGCCCGTGGTGCCTAGGAAGAGCAAGACATCGAGCAGCAAAGCCCGCGGAAAGACACGGGAGGCAAGCGTCATGTCTTTGGACGATGACGAGGAGATGGGTAAAGGTGAGGAGCATATCCGTGGTGCCTAGCAGTCTCCCTGACGCCGCGCGCAGACCGTGAGGAATCGCCCACCGACCTCGAGAACGCAGCTGCGGAGGCAAAAGCGTACTGGGATGTGGACATCACACCGGGTGAGGCCTTGGACCAACGCATTAGCAGGGCAATCAAGACAAAGGACATCAAGTATCTTGCGGATGTCGTTGCAGCCGAGCGCTCACAGGAGGGGCTGCCGCACTTCGACTGGGAGCACCCGGATATCATGAAGAAACGGCGCCAGAGATGGCTCAGAGTGCGCGTAAGTCATCCTGTTGCATTTCCCTCCGCACCGCTGACGCCTTTTGAAGCCCACGACTTGCATCAAATGCCGCTCCATGCATTGCTGGATCTCGAGCGACCCCGCGCGGAACGCGAAGACCTGCGACGAGTGCTTCCGGGGCCACAATCCCTGTGTTGACTACGACACATCGGGAACCCATGAAATCAAGCGCGGGCGGTCCCGCACACGCTCCCGCACACCGACTGGGCGGAAAGCAAATCCGCGAAAACGGTCGCGATCTCAGTCAGCGACGTCAGAGGCGACACCGCCTCCAGACTCTGAGTTCGACGGGGCAGCAGAATCGGACGCCGGATCAGTGGCCACTACGTCTTCTCGACGAAGCACCCGGACAGCTCGCCGTCCCGCGAAACGGCCGCGGATCGTGTCGGAACCAGTACAGAAAAAGAAGCGCGCCGGTAGCAGATCTGCCACGAAGACACCGGAGTTGTCAGCAGAGCCAGAAGACGCAAGTACTCCAGAACCGGGGTCCCCGGGTCGCGTCGCCGGCCCTTCGCAAAATGCCCGTCAAATTGAGCGACCGCGCGTTGTCCCGGCTTACATCGGAGAGACCCTGCATCGTGAGTTACTTCGTGGTGACCATGATGTGTTTCGCTCATATTAACCAGAAATAGCGCCGCTACCTTCCGGGCAAGAGCCGCGGGGGGTTGTGATGCTCCAGTCAGCAAGCGTAATTTCGCAGGAGCTACACAAGTTGCGACAGGAGAATGTGGAGCTGCGGCAGATGTACCAGCAGCTCAGGCAGGAATTCGACGCTTTCCGTGCGCTCGTCCTTGGCCGTGGTGAGTCATATCGGATGGATCCGTCGTAACAACACTGACGACTGCATTTCAGAGGGCCGCCTCCCTTCCGGCGAAACGGATACAGCATCGGGGCCGCCCGAGGCTTCGGGTTCCGGTACCCTTCAAGATCCCGAGGTCTTGCCGTCGACTTCGGACCCTGAGCCATCGGCAAGCGAGCTTCAAGACGCGCCCGTCTTGGAGAACGACATCGATATGGATGAAGAGCAGGTTGCTCCCGGCGCCGCCATCACACTCTCGTTCGCAACGGACGTCCAGGGAGCCGACATCGAGATGGATTGGTCGGCGGAGAACAACATTGGATGGGAAAAGGCGGAGAGCCCGACACGAGCGGCGGGCCCTGTCCGCATGACCCCGCCTCCGACACTGAGCATGGCAGCGAGCCCCACACAGTCTGTTCCGGCCGAAATTCCACCCGCCGTGGTGGTCGAGGGCTCTGGCAGTGACGGGGCGCATCTCGGGCAAGACGACGCAGCGGCAGAGGCTGTGTCCCAGGACCTCGGTCCTGCGGTGCACGATGCCTCGCAGGTTGTTACCAGGCGGTCCCGAGGGCCATACCAGACTCCCCCGCCTCTCCCCCCCAGCCTTCCCAGACTCCCCCGCCTCTCCCCCCCAGACTCCCCCGCCTCTCCCCCCACCGCCATGCCAAAGCCCTTCGGGTCTCGCGGTCGAAAACCACGATGTCAGAGAGAGTGGCGTGTCCGGCGACAAAGCGGAGGATGGGGGTGCCTGTGGCCACTGCGACCCCCGCCCCCCAACTCGCACGATACGGTTCCAGATTCACAGCCGCCGGTCACCCCTTCGCAGGAAGTCCTTCCCGGTACGACTCCGGCCGAGCAGCAGTCGTCAAATGAGGCCCAGGAGAAGGTCGTGGAGACCCCAGGTAACGAGCCGGATAACGAGCCGGGTATTGTGCCACAAGGCACGTCCGCAGAGCCGGTAAGCAGCACGGTGCTCGATGCAGCGATGCATGCTCACAGCGTCGTGCAGACAGGCCAAACCCACGATGGGGAACACCCCGTATCACCGAGTGTTACGCCGAACGCGCCCGGACTTCATGGGGACTCGGACGTGACAGCGCAGCGGACCGAGCCGCCGGATGACAATGATGTTGTGATGACATCCGGGGAACACGAACCCGGACCCAGCAATGATCAAGGCGGGGTTGCAACTCCACCGATGGTCCCCTCTTGGACGACGTTACAGGACTATGGCGGGGATTTGTAATTTGGTAGTGTAACGCACAATGTACTAGTAGATTCTGTATATATTGTTGGAACCTCTTTTGCTGGAACAAAACAATACATGAACATGAAATTGAACTTGGACAATCTATCATCCCTTGCACGCTTGCCCCGCCGCCGCACGCACGTCGCCGGCGCCCGCCCTCGGACGCACGCCGCCGGACGCCCGCCACCGGACGCCCGCCCCCGGGCGTCAGACATCAACATCCTCGTATGGACCGCCGGCCAATGTAGAGATTACCCGGCCGGCTGTGCCGGTGGCTTGGGTGCCATGACGGCATTATGGTAAGGATATGTTGATATGTACTTATTTCGACCAATAGGATTTACTGCGGCCCCTTGGCCACATTTGGCCACGTGATCGTGGTTCGATTGCCACGCACGCCTGATCAAATGCCACCTGGTTCCCTCCCTGCACTTCGTTGATCTCCCCGACATAATCCGCTCACTTCTGTACTGCTCTCTGTCGCCTTTCATTCATGGCTTCGACCTCCGCTTCGTCATCCCACCATGCTCTGCCGGGGGCAGCCGCTGACCCACTTAAGGGGTACGACGATCCCTTGGACGCCAACTTGGTCCTCGCTGCATATGGCCGCAACATCGAAACCCGCTTGAGGCAGGCCGAAAATCCCCGTCTTCAAAATCGGACAACAATTGCGCGGCTCGTGAGTTACTCCCATTCATTGTTTCACAGGCAGTAACACCGGGATTCCCAATGACAGTGGAATGGCATAGAAAATTCAGTGGTCAGTCGTAGCTCAGATTGGCACTGGTTTCAACGCCTTACATGGACCTTAGTTCAAAATAGGCGCGATATTGGAATCGGCTTCAGCGAGAGAGTGGGTAGTATACGTACCCCCGCTCGCTATTTCTGCGATGGAGGAAGTCGCCGGCAACGTGAGCGGAGACTATTCCACCCGCATGGCGCGCATCAAATCGGATGACCCGAGAGTCTTCACGAATGCCTGGTACTCCGCAAGTCCCCCGCCCGGTGGCCACCCGCTGCCCAGCTTTACCGGCATGGTGACCTCCGCTGCCCCCGGGAACCCACACGTCCCGACCGCGCCCGAAAAGACATCTCCGGCTGGTGCATCTCGGCCTACGACGTCCCACACAGCGCATGCAGTCCGGTTCCAGCTCCCACACGCCAGCACTGATCCCACGCACTGCAGTGAGACGCAGGAGGCGGAGCGTACTCCGGGCCCTGCGCTGCCGGGCGGACAGGTGAAGCGTTCAACAGTGGGATGGAATTACATGGAGATATCGGAGGACAAGGCGGAACATTCTGTGACGAATGTGATGGTGGCTGCACCGGTAACGTTAACCGGGCACCGGCACGGGGACAGCAATGATACCAGCGACGAGGAAGACGAGTTGCAGGAGGCCGTAGTGACGAAGTACAAGAGATCAGGGGCCGGGAAAGCGAAGGGAAAGCGTCCGGCAAGCGAGATCGACTTTAGTGACGAAGAAGATCAATTGCAGGAGTCCGAGACGCCCACCAAGACAGTGAACCAGCGTGGGCAAGCCAAAAGGAAACGGCGGGGAGACAGTGTCGTGGTTGAGGTGCACAAAGACAAGAGACATGATCGTGAGTGACTCAGTATTGTATTGATTCATCCCGCCGCTTAAGATGTTGTTAGCGGTCCCGCACCTTCGTTCAGCACTGAAGAACCCGCTGCCCGTCGGCCCGTCAGCGGGCGACGTCAATGACGGCCCGGCGTACAGATACAAGGTCGACCAGGCCCTCAAAACCCACGACATCAATGCCCTCATCGATATCGTACAGGGGGAGCGGGCTGTCAAGCGCCTGCCCAAGTTCAACTGGGACGCCGGGAAGCTTCGGGGACGGCGCAAAGCTATCTGGCTGAGGACCATGGTGAGCTTGAATCGTTCTTTTTATCGCCGGGCACTCATTAGCCGTTGCAGGAGCCTCCATGCACGCGGTGCTCCGGCATTCACTGCTGGATCTCCAGCGATCCCAACGCCAAGCGTCCTGCTACGAAGTGTGACGAGTGCGCCCGACTGGGCAAAAAGTGCTTTACCAGCGAGGCCCGCAATCCGTCCCCGGCTGACGAGGTCAGGGCGGGTCGATCCAGCACACCAACCCCGCCCAACGCAAACACCCAACACCGAGCCCGATCTCCGTCTGCTCTGCCCGATGCAAGTGGCCCTCCGGAATCCACCGCGGAGGCGCCCGCGGAGCAGGACAATGCTTCAACCACCGCCACCACCACTCGAGGAAGCGGGGAAGAATCATGCGCTGACGGGCAGTGCACATTGGATGCGGACAAACCGCGCACCTTCGTCCGCGCATACATTGGGGCACTCCCGCCAAGTGAGTGTTTCATCCATTCCGCTGTGATCATTATTTACGTGTGATAAATGTACAGGATTGGCTCATCGGAAGCCGGACCCAAGTGCGGAGGGCATTGAGCTCCTGGAAACAACGGCGGACGTCTCATACAAAGTCCGAGAACTGCGACAGGAGAATGCCGAAATCCGCACCATGTGCGATGAGCTCCGGCAGGACTTCGCGACACTCCGTGAACACCTGAGAGCACGTAGTAAGTGAGACATGAAGTCCCTGGGCCATACTGCACTGAAATCAAATTGGCAGACAGTATCCGTGCTTTCACGCACTTTGAACACCAGCCCGGAGCAGCGGCAGCTCCGGAGACGCTGGTTGATCATGGGGCGCAGACGAACGTTCCTGCCTCCCCGGATCCATCGTCGCTGAGCAGGCATGCCATCCCGGCACCCAACTTGGCAAGCCACGACGTACACGAGGTTCCCGACGACACTGTTATCGCTTCCGCCACACTTCGGCATGCTTCCGCGTTGTGCACACAGGATGGCAGCGACATGGCCAGTACGGATGATGGTAGTGATTTGGACATGTCAAGCGATGATCCCGACGCAGTGTGACACTCGCTTGGGCCAATAATAATAACACTATATACGTGTAACGTATGATGATGAAATTTGATTGCATCTACAACTTTATGGATTCGAACATAGAAGTTTCCAGCTTTGCTTAGTGAATGCTCATGCTTCAGTGGAGCACGAGCGGACGCCCGCCACCGGACGACCACCACCGGACGCCCGCCACCGGACGCCCGCCACCGGACGCCCGCCACCGGACGCCCGCCACCGGACGCCCGCCACCGGACGCCCGCCACCGGGCGCCCGCCATGCCAGATGGTGGCAGCTGCAGCCGTTGCAAAAGTCATAGGTGTACTGCGTTCGTGGATGGTATCTCGCTGTCAACGCTTCCATCAAGGTCGACACATACTCAGCATTGTGAAGGTCGACATACACTACGGACTTTCGCTGGGAACATTGTACAACGTATATTACACATACAAATAGATTCGGAAACCTTTTCCGACATGTCACTTTCATTACTCCTCCTGCATGTCTTCTAACCCACGAAACTCGGTAAATCCGCGGGCAAAATAGTCTGAATCCTCCATCACCGGGTGCGGGGCAACCCGCGCATACCAGTCACTCTGTTCCCGCTCACTGCCCTCCAAAACTGATTCCCAGAAGCCTATTTCGGCCGAAATATAGTCCTCCATGATCCCGTATTGCGTCATCAGGGCATCGATGATGTCGTCTAAATACTGGACCTTTTCCGCCGGATCCAACACCTTCGTGAGCTCGCCATTTGCAAGTTGTCTGTACTGCCCGGGTGGACTGGCCGGAATTGGCATGACCATGGGCGGCAGTAGGCGTAGGTTCAGCTTATTGATGTAATGTGCGATTCCCTAGGGGTCGCGATGTGAGTCCGAGCGCAAGTGAATGCAGCGCCGATACATACGTCCTGTTGCTCTCCGATGTGCCTGCGTTCGAGTGACATACGCCTTTCGTCCTCCCTGGTGATCTCCGCATCGAGCAAGGCCTCGACGGCCTCCACTCGAGTGGCCTCGGCGTCGAACGCGTCCCTCATTTCCATGCGAAATGCAGAAAGGGAAACGTTGTCAGGCGGGATGAGCACGTTCCCTTCTTCACCAGTTAGGGTGGGTCGGTGAAATGCACAAGCCAGCGGGACATACCATCATCCAATCCATGCTTCCGGGTCATCGGAGGCACTCCCCGTGTGCCTTGACTTCCCTCTGGCTCCATCGATACATCCTTCAGGACCACCGCGTCCTTCAAGCGCTCTAGTGCTGCAGCCCCAGATTGTTCCGGGGCATCGAGGACCTCCCAAAACCGGGCCATGGCGTCCGTAATGCCTAACACCATCAGCGTGTCTCCATTGGACAGCCGCTGGAACCCTGTGATCATCGCTGCCATACACTGCCAAAACACAGTGTCAGTGCGTTACAGCAAATGGAAACAAAGGTGAATACAATACCATTGATTTGAGGAGCACGCGATCCTCTGCGGTAGTGCTCCCGTGGGCCCCGGTTGACCGAGCCGCTGCTTGCGCCGCAGCGACCGCATTGTCATGAAACACGGCCTCAAATTCTTGGGCGGTTGGGAAGGTCATCGTGTAGAGGGTAGGAAGGACGGAGAAGCCGAGTTGCTCGCGAGATCAAAGTAGAGAGCAAGGAGCACTACTGATCCACGACGTCTGATTAGCACTCTCCGGTTTGGGTCTTCTTTCCCACGGAGCCACTGGTGTGAGATGACAGGCGTCAAAATGATGCGCGTTTATCAATATGGGCAATGTGTGATGCCCGGTGGCGGTGCTCATCCAACTACAGGGGGAAGGGCTGCAATGTAGCGGCGACGATGTTTGACGACGTCTCATGGCTGTGGCTTACCACGCGTCCGTCCCCCAACACCCACCGACGGACACCCGCCACCGGACGCCCGCCGCCGGACGCCCGCTGTCGGACACCGGACGCCGGACAGATGGAAATCTTGGTGGACTTTCTGCATACCCTCATGACCTGGCATCGGTTGCACGCTGAAGCGGTGGTACAACTGCTGAAGCGGTTCTGCGTAAACATCCATTCGTTAACTTGAAATGATACATTGACTGTCTACGCTGGGAGGATGACTTCCGGCGGCGCGTTCTGGAGGTTATCGAGCTTCTCCCGGTACGCACGGGCGTAGGCAATGGAGTCGAGACGGCACTTGTCCGCCCGCTCATCGATATACTTTCGGAATTCGAGCCCGTAGATGCTCGTCCAGTATCCGCGACCGGAGTGAAAGCCGCCAATGTACTCCCATGCGCATTGGGTGTTGCGGCGGCTAGGGCGCAACCACGCTGCGTAAGTCCCGATGATCGCTAGCCCCCACGGCAGCTCATGCTTCCTGAGGTCCACATGAGCGACGACTCGCGCCATGTACGATTGCAGCTGTTTCAATATAGCGATCCGGTCGTCGATTGTGGGAATCACCTCGTCGGGACGCAGCGACCCGACTTCAACAACGAGGCGTGGCACCTCCCGCTCCAGCTCCTGACCCCCTGGCTCTTTGAGGCCGTAGTACGAACTGATGAGGAAGTCGGGGTACTTCGTGCCGGACTTCGTACGCGAGTACACAATCCCTCCTGTCAATAATCAGTTGAGGTTGCGTCCGGAAGCCCTGCAGAAATCGTACATACCGTCCCAGTCGACACTAGTCGGGGGCCGCCCAGCCAGCGCTTGACCGGCGGCCGCTCGCTCTTCATTTCCACGCCCGCCCGGCACCGCGTCAAGGATATGCTGTCCGGGGACAGACGGGCGGAGCGGCTCTTGTGGCTTGATCAAGGTACGGGGGAATCGCAAGGTAAAGTACCTTGTCCACGCGCCATACTGGGAAAATTGGGTCGACGCCGGCTTCAAATGCCAGTGGTGGACCATTTCGCGGAGTTGGTCGTCCACGTCGGGGTGACCTTCGAAAGAAAACTAGACGTAGTAAGTGTCCTTCGAGTGCAAGATCGAAGCGGCCCGGCGTACCATGTTTCCAATGTTAGCCTGTCCGACCACAGCGGTGAGACTTGCGCTGCTGAGATCCGTGGCGGCGCTGTGCGCCCTTTTATACACCAAGCACATCACACGTCGGAATGCCTCGCTTGCTAATGTGCCGCTGTTGAGTGCGGTCACAAGGGCCACATCGGAGGCATGCCTGCTGCCCAATCAAGGGGCGTGCATTGTGTCGTGGAACACAACCCGACGTCGCATGCTTATCCACTGTCCACAGAAGCCCGGATATGTCTTCCGTAGAAGAGTACTGGGTGATACACAGCTGATGCCCCGTCCGGACTGCATTGAGATAGCAATTTGCGCTGCACCCCACATGTGCAGCGCACTCATGGGACCCGCAATACATGCCGCGATAGTGGCAGCTACAATCAAGGCAATGACACCGGCCTTCCCGGGGTGCTTTCCAGCCACGGAGCTAGTGCGGACAACGATATACAGAACGTGTGTAAATATATTTGGGTATGTTCCGTCCGCGACATGGGACCACTTTGTTCTCACACCCTAAGTTTGTTTGACATCCGGCAGGAAACACTCACCGGCACATGTACCATGATAGCGGCACACGGGAGAAGTCCATATCGTGGGTATTATTCACGTGACTGACTTAGTAACACAACCATCATGACATAGCACTGGAGTCCATAGGATCTACAATCCACGCCCCAACAAGCTGCAGCCACAAAGTACGAGGTGAGTGTAAGTGCCTGTGACATGTACTACAGTTGTCTGATGCACCTCCACAGCATGGTTGGCGTCATCTCTGGCTACATACTGCCGGCGGAGAGCCTGCACTGGTTCTGCGAGTGCCGGGTCGGTCCCTTTGTGCCCGAGGAAATTCCGGAGGTCGAGGGGCCTCGCGAATTCAACGCATTCGTGAACGACATACTGTGCATGATCGACTGGATTCGGGGTCTGGAGAGGAGCAAGCTCGTGCCTCCTGTGAGCTGTGAGTACCATCCCCAAGCACACGGGCTCCATTACTGAGCCCCCCTCGAAACAGGGCTTCTCCCGGACCGGGGTGAAACTGCCGTCATCGTCACGGGGTACGAGGATCAGAAGAAGGGTGTCTCCCGGATTCCGGAAGACGACAGGCAGGTTCGCGCGCGCGACCGGTTTGTCAAACACGCGAATCTGGCGGCCGGGAAAAACGTCTTTGTGAGCTCGACCTTGCAATATTTTTGCACCGCGGAAGAGAACCTGGAGCTTCCCCTCGCACTGTGAGTGAGCGATGTGACCGCTTGGTCCGCGAGCTGATCAAGAATGCACAGGTGCTTCGATCCGCCGCCGCAGAAAGGCAAGGAGAAGGCCGCTGAACCGGTACAGCCCCGGTACAATTTTCGACCTCGCAACCCGTCCCGAGAGCCAACTCCCCTCTCTTGATCTGTAGTTAGTCGTCTGAACATGTGCCTATTTTACGCGGTGTACGATATCATATGTAGGGGTTGGAATTGCATGTTTGTCTCTTGATAAGGACTGGTCTGATTGCGCCAGCGGGAGCACATGCAGCGGGCGGATGTGTGTTGTCACCTTCAGCTAAAGCCCGGCCGGTGGCACTCATCCGGCGGCGGGCGTCCGGAGGCGGGCGTCCGGCGGCGGGCGTCCGGCCCCAACAATCTGTATCCCACACACACTACACAGACAAGGCAATACATGCATTATTCTCATTCTTCGCCGTCGGAAACAAGCCATGCAGTGCAATAACGCTCCCACCACCATTTCTACCGAACCGTCCCACTAGTGCCGGGGCTTCTTGGCGGCACGTTGCCCCTTCGTCGGAGACACGGGCTCGCCCTTGCGGCCGCGCTTCCGGATCCTCGTGCCAATGGCAGATGCATCCGACCCGGTACCTGGAGGATTCATGAGGCGCTTCGACCGCTTTGGAACTTCCTCCCACTCTTTCGCCAGTGACTTGCAAGCATACAGCAGGCGATCCTTGACGAACGCGTGATCATGCAGAGTGTTAAGTACGTGATCCGGTAAGTTATACTTATCACGGTTGCTCGACAATGACTTTTCTAAGTCATGCAGCAGCATTCCGATCGTCAGAGCGAGGGTTTGAGCTTCAACCATGCTGATTGTCGTTCCCTTCATGCTCGTCGTTATCTTGCTCAGCCATGATTTGAAAGATCGAATTTCGGCAGCGTTGTTGTGGGCAGCGGGCGGGCAATGACTCTTCCGGTAAGACCACATGCCCCATTCCCAAGTCTTTGATGTACGCCATGACCCGGCTTGTGACTAACAGGACGCTCCCAGTCAGCAGGTACTATCCATCCACATGACGAGCGGCCTTACCAAAGCGGGAATTCCATCCAGCAACACACAATAGTGTTTGTTTCTGGACAGTTCTCGGAGGAACTGCATGCGATCAGAAACTTCATCCCTCATTTTTGCAGGTGCTCCGTCTTCTACAGCCTCTTCGTCCGAGACCCCATCCGAGCCCGTTGATGATGCTGGCGGTGTGGGTCCCTGGCAGTTTGACCGGCAACATCCACCGGGGCCACCAAAGACATTGCGGGAGCACCAGCCGTACCTGAAGGTCCCACCGAGGCCGTCCGTGCAGTACGGGACGACCAATTCCGGGGCAAGTCCTTCCCGAGCGGCCTACGTTTCCTGGGCGCGATCGTAAAGCTGAACCACTCTCCCGCTCCGGGATAACATAATAGGTTGCAACGCCTGGGATGGGCCGGCAGTGTTCCCATCCCGCCGACGGGGCCGGGGCACGACCCGTGGGGGTGGACATGGCGATTCTGACAACCGCTCCGGGTTACCCTGCACGGCTGTACTGCTCATGCGCTCAATTACAAGCCCCGACGTCAACCTCAACAGAGGATTTCGTGCCTTTGCATTGGAACGTGCGGCCGGACGTTGAGATGGCATTGGACTAAAAAGGTCGGAGGCAGGAGGCACCTCGGCTCGTCCCTTGCCTTTACGATCCACCACGAGCATCGGCGGTTCGGGCGTCGACGACGAGGAGCGAAACGGCAGCCCCGCGTCTGAACCGGGGAGGATGTCCGAATGCGGACTTTGCTTTACCAGCGCGGTGTTGACCTCCCGGCTGTGTTGAACATCGTTTATGGAAGACGGTGGGCGTTCCGGCGAAGGCAGGGCGAAAGGGTTACCTTGTCGTGACGAGGAGGGGCGGGGTAGCGGGATCGCTGCCGGTGGAGGAACTGGAAGATGAGGACGATGAAGAAGACACGAGTTCTCGTCCGCTAGATCGCGTTGGACAGCGGAGTCTACGTCACTGCCCTCTGCATTTGACTGCAGTTCAGGTTCGTGCCTGTTGTCGCGCTCGTCGTCTCCATCGGATGCGTCACTGTCTTTTCCGGAGTGACGCTCGCACGCTTCGAGCCACTTGGATGTGGGCGGCGACCCTTCGGATGGGGGGACGATTGACGCCGCGGGCGGGCACTCCGGGCAGCGCGGCGGGAAGCAGTCCTCGGCTCCTCATGCTCCAGAGACACGATTTCGCTTTGATGATTTCGGTAGGCAATGAAACGCATCACAAAGGCAAGCCTGAGGAATTAGCCCTTGTCCGCCAGTGTGCGATAAGAGAGTCAACCTCCGCCTGTTTCAGATGCGACGGTTCTTGGAGGGTGACACCATTTGGAAGGGACCCGGCCTCGAGAGCTTCTCCGGTGTCGCCTGGAGAGCGACCCAGGGGACTTTCAACTTCGGCATTTTTGTATACGCCACTGTTGCGTCGCTGTCAGTACCCAGTGATATCACGCGGATCAGATGCATACCGTAATGGAGCCGGAGAATTCTGAAATGAACGCCTTCTTATTCCGTAGATTCTTGAAGCACTCGTCGCTGTGGTGCGGCATACCGGGGGTGTCGTCATCGTACATCTCCCAGTCAATCTTCGGCACACCCCGCTTATTCGCCCTGACATCCGCATCACTGTCTTCAGATACATCGTCGCCCGCTGAAAGCGTGAAATCGTCGATGAGCCAACCGGACAAGCCAGGAAGTGGTGGAGGTCATTCACTTACCGAACAGTTTGTGCCCGTAGTCCTTGAACAGATCTCGGAACCCGTCTGCACGTTTGTAGTCGGGGTACATGTCCTTGAATTTGACGCGACCGGCCGCGCGCTCGGCATTGGGGTCGACAAGGTCATTGCAATCAAAGCTGGTCAGAGCGCCATAATGAGCTCCAGGGACCCAATTACAAGGAAGGTATGATACGCACTCGATTACACTGGGTTTGCCTTCCAGGGATTTATAGACCCGTGCACGAACACGCGCATCCCGAAGTGCCTCCAAACGTATTTAGAAAAATCCAACATGACCGCCTCGCTCTTCCGGACGATGTTCCGGTCCTGCAATTCATGAGGTTGCCCTTCCGAATTCCACCGGACAGCCTCCTGCTTGTATTCCCGCTGTTTCGCCCGGGGAGACTGTTGGCCAGATTTCGCAGCTCCTTTTGATACGTAGCGAGAAAGTCCTTGTCTCCGTGAGCGACCCCGGTCGCAGCTATCTTCTCGTCCAGTTCCCCGGGCATGTGCCAAGCCACACACGGTGCCAGTTCAGGCGTCGGCCGAATGCGGAGGGACGATCTTTCTTTTTCTTATTCTTCACAGGTGCGGCATTGTAAAACCACGCCCGGACAGCCTGATTATACATTATGCAATGTATCTGCGCAGCATGACAGTCAACGTACCTTTTTTCCTTCCTTCTTCATAGCCCTTCCCCGGTGGGCCTCCAACTTCTCGACAGCACGCGACCGGACATCTTTACGGTCATTCGAGTCACCCGCCTTCCACTCCGAGAGGAAGCTGCGCAGGATGAGGAGTTCTCCAGGTGTATAAGACGTAGCTGGCATGTTGGGTGTACAGAGCTAAGGTGACAGCTCATACGGTGCCAGCTGTACGCTGCGTCTCCCATGCGTTTGCCTCATGGAACTAGGCGCCCGGTAGCTTCTCGTCGGCTACGATGTTGCAATATCTGTGAATGGTGGCCCATGTCGAGTGTCGGATATTAGACAAACTGCCCAAACGCAGCAATTTGCATGCAGCTTTCCACAGACACCAATCACAGCATATCTCGCCGCCCGGGGGCCATGTCCGAGCAAATCGGAGGCAGCTAGCCGAGGGTGCGGTATCCTCAAGGTGAACACGTTTCCGCACAGTCATTCCCCAAGTCTGTCGAGCGACCTTGTCCACTACCCACCTGCTGCACGATGGCGAAGCCCAGGGTAAAGCGACGATGCAGCTCACCCAAAGTTCAAGAAGTCGAGATACAACGCAAACAGACCTCAAGAGGGCTCAGGACACGACTCGTAGTCTTACCGGACGAAGGCCCATCCACCCAAAGTCTTCATCGACACCGTCGGCACCGACCGCACGTCAATCGAAGGGCTCTGAACCGTCGCACCGACAGCACGTCGTTCGAAGGGCCTGTGGACACCGCAGTCAACCGTCGACCCGCCCGATCGCCCTGTCGAGCCTTCCACTCCACCGCCTCTTCCGTCGGGCCCCCAGCAACCACAGCGCCGTGCCCGGGCCCCAAAGGTGCGATGAATGCACATCCGCATATCGGGAATGCGGCTAATATTTGAGTAGACCCAACCGACATGATGACGGCTTGGCTTCCATACCGGAATGAGTACTTGGAGCACATGTACGCAGCTCACGCCTCACCAACATCCGACAATACCGGCACCGCGACATGCACAAAATGCTTGGCTGGCTCCGCTGAGTGGAAGTGCCTCTCCTGCTTCGGCGGGCCAGTGTTCTGCGAATCCTGCTGCCTGGGGAACACGCCCGACTACCATTCCACCGTCTGGAGCGCTGGGCGCAGACATTCTGGGCCCCTTCCTGGCTTCGCACCTTAGGCCTTCGGATTCACCTAGGTCACGAAGGCGCTCCCTGTCCGTGCGTTGACGAGCCCGACAATGAGAGTGACTGGTCGGACGACGATTCTTGCAATGAATCTGACAGTGGTGAAGAGGATGAGGAAACTCTGGGGATCCCCTTCGTGATGCGGCGGGGGTTGAGCGGGCTCCGGAAATGCATATGACGATCGTCGACACGTCCGGGTGCATTTCATTCCGTTGATGCTGCCGTTGCCCTGAGGCGGAGTCAGTTCGTGGTCAGCTCCTCCAGGCGGGCTTTACCCAGCAGCCAGCTAATGTCAAAACGTGTTTACCTTCGACGTACTGGATGACTTCCTCTCGACAATCTCGAATGCAAGACTCCGCGATGAACTATTATCGCCGACTTCGCCGGAAGACCAATCCGGCATTCCCGCATCGTGTGCCGGTAAGTCCAGCCACCCGTGCGGACGTTCGCCTTGCTCATCACCACACTGCAGGATCGCTATGCGAATTCATGCGTGCCACCAGACAGTGGACGCTGCTCCGGGCTATGATGCAGTTCGGATTTGGTCCGAAATGGCGGGGGGAACCGGGGACGGGCGATCTTGCACTATTCTGTGCTGCCTGCCCACAGCCGGAGTGAACATTCCAGACGACTGGGACAGTGACCCGAATGCGTGAGTGACCGGGCCGTAAGCCGTGAGCAGCAATTGAACGTATGGACAGGTACATTTAGCTCGAGGCTATGTCATGGATGGTAACTTCTCGCTGAGCATATGAAGATGCGGAAGCCGGGCAACGATGTTCCGCTTATGCCCGGAAGGCGTTCATGGTGACGGATGAAGAATTGGCCCTCATTTGAAGTCATCCACTGATATAAAAATGGTGGGTGGGTGAAGTTGTGTTGAGGGTTGTGCTGATTCAGTACAAGAAACCGACATGCAATGACCACCAAGCTATCGCTCGGGCCAATGCTCACCGCCACAAATTACAGTCTACCGGATTGGGGCCACGGCTTGCTCACGCCACGGATGCTTCTTTCCACATGCGGTTGTCAACTTCCAGGCCGGTGAGCGGCAGAAAAACATGGATTACACGCTGTCGGAAGCTATGAGCTACCGGTCGGACGGCATCAAGAACGCCATTGTGCTGTACGACGTGATGTGTCAGTATGGTGTGCACCTCCCAAAACGCTTCAAGGACGGACCGCGGCTCCGGATGCCGCGGGGCCTTACACTTTACCTGGGCATCGGCTTGTTCCATGTACATGGCCACCAGTCGAAGTGCCTGCTCGAGTACGCCCCGACGTTCATGCGCGGCGCCGGACAAGTGGATGGGGAGATCGTCGAAACGATGTGGTCTCCATTGGGCAAGGTGTTCGGAAGTACTCGGACGATGGCGACGTCGCATCGGCAAGAAACTCTCGACCGTCATATGAACGACTGGAATTGGCGCAAAATGGTGTCATTAGGTGCGGGAAGCAGATCAACTGTCCGGTGTTGCAGGTTCTCACCCCCTTCCAGTCCCAGCATTGAAGAAACGCATTGCCGCAAACCGGGTACTCCTTGAGAGCTTCCGAGAGGCGCTGGAGGATCAGGAAGCCGGGATCGAAGCCGACATCCTGGCTCAATGGATGTCAGCGGTCGCAGAAGCCCACAAAAAACGTGTGAAGGATGTGACAGTGATGGACGCATTTGAGGTTCAGGGCCAGCATGGTGAGTGGCGGGTGGCGGATATTACACCACTGATCGCTGACATGTAGAGTAGCTCCGTCAAGGGCGGAAATACAAATCGGTCTGACCGAAAAGGAAGGGATAACAACATCATCGTCGGAGCAGCGGAGTGGATGGTTGAGGGAATGAGGATTGAGGATGCACAGTGCGTAATTACAATCCGGCCGTCCGACATTCAATGCTCACAATCCGACAGAATTGCGCTGCAGCGGGTAGTAAGGGCCTATGGGACCAAGACAACGGCAGAGCAGCGTTTGAACATCGCGAAACAGAGAAAACGGCTCGAACTCCGGATCGAGCGCTTCCTAAGGAAGGGGGAGGAGATTGTGGGTACGAACGAATGGGACGACGGTCGGCAGCATACCGAGGTTATCGACGACAACGGTGACCTATCCGACTGGGAAGACATGCAGAACAACGGCCAAGCAGCCGCCGGGCCCAACGTAACAGGCAATGTCCCGGCTTCTACTCCGAAATCAAGAAAGCGAGATGGGAGGGCAGCGGAGTGGCGGCTGTTGTCACTTCCATCGTCCTACTCTGTCGACACGATCAAGACTGCGGACGTGCAGCCATATGCAAAAGCGGAACTGGAGCTACGAATCGGGCAAGCGAACGACATCTTGCACCAATTGCGGATATTGCTCAGCCAAAAGTCATTTGTAATGCGTGCGAAGGTGCGCGATGCCAAGTCTCAGTCGCGGAAGACACGGGCGTGGGCGGATGTGCATGCTGTTCAGAAAGGAGTGGAACACCAGGCCCGTATGTACAGGAAGGTGCGGCATGCGATGACAGTGCTCGGAGCAACAACGTCAACACTTCGAAAGTACCAGAAATTGGTGCCTGACGACTTGAAGGTCAGCACAGCAATCGTAGAACCGAACCAGAGGGGGCAGCGACATACCCGGCTACCCTGGATATGGACGACGGATGTTCAAGGCGATATGAACGCAAATGAGACAATGACGGAATGTAAGCAGGTCACCGGTCGCGGTACATCTACAGAATCATGATTTTTTACAGTACACCGTGTGCATTGGTTCCGAGCACGGTCACAGTTCGAGCGAGCCGAAGAAGAGGACAATATCCTCCGCCGGGAGCTGGATTCTGTCCGGAGATATTTTGAGTACGAGACGAAACGGTGGGCAGATCATGCCGCCAACCGGAAGAGCGGAAAGTATCCTGGGTATGCGGAGGTGTGCCGTCACAGGCAACATATGTACAAGTGCTACAAAAGGATGCTGACACTGCCTATGGTATCATGTACCTGGGGAGATAATACAAACTGTTTCCTTATACCGTTATCGCCATCCCAATTTCCCTAACTCAACATGCGTCCGCCGCCTGATGTCCGGTGGCGGGTGTCCGGTGGCGGGTGTCCGGTGGCGGGTGTCCGGTGGCGGGTGTCCGGTGGCGGGGTCCGGTGGCGGGTGTCCGGCGGAGGACGCGTCCCCTTTTAATGCTGTGATGGTGCACTACCGTGGCAGAACCAAGCAGTTAACAATGTTTCGGGTCATGAAATACAGGCAAAATTGCTGATAGCTAGCTAGAAGTCGACCGTTAGCCAACTGGTCTTCCTAACGTTGGCCCATGTATGCACTTGGGGCCTCATGTAGTATACTACGCATAGCCTCTCCCTATTAGAACGTGACACGGAATGAGGGAGCAGGGAACCAGAGAACAAAGCCGCGCACCGCCGGCGTACTGCAATTTGAGGCCGAGGGTCGGGAGCTCTAACACCGTGTTGTCGTCCCCCCCAATCGTTATAAGGAGATCGTACAAGTCCTTTGCCGAGATTCTGTCGACGTGGAGTGGCGTTCGGCGGTTGGTTATAACGGACATCGCGTTGAATGGATTACCCCACAAGGGGAGAACGTCCGCGATGTCGGGACAAATCCGAGTTGAGGCGAGGGCCGCATAGCCCATAGCATGCAACTCCGGATGAATTATCCGGAGCATGCCTGCAATGAGGGCGTGCTGCTCTGTCATTGCCCGCAACCAATCCCGGCCGGGAGATTGTTGATCTGACAACGTCGAGGACACCTGTGGCGGATACGTAGTACCCTGGAGAGACAATGTTGGTCCAGCACTGCTGCTGCTCAATGCTGCGTACCTGGTGACCTTGCTGGTACCAACCCGGAGAGAAAGATATGCAGCCGGGGTCCAAGCTTTCCCATTGTCCGGTTGCCGCGAAGTTGTCCGGATGCTTCCGCCATGTTTGCGAAGGCTGCGGACGACACTTCTCGAGCATGGGATTGAGTAGGAAAGTATTTTCCCATATCTTAATCTGAGGGGTTTGTGAGTTAGCATCAATGGATACCCCGGGAAGGTACAAGGCTTGCCTTCTGCGCGGCCGTTAGGATACCAGGCAGGTACCAAAGCAGTATATGTCCCGCTGCATCGATGGCGGTGGCGGGCTGTGTGAAGATACCGTCGCCAAGTTCAAGGGGCGGGAATTCCTTCATGGCGCGATGAAGGCGGGGCATTGTCCGGTCAGAGATTTCCGCCGGGATAGCCTCCGCATAATCCTCTGCATTCCAATCCACGAAAACTTGGCTATGCAGTGAGCTTAGGCGTGTTGCCAAGGCGTAGACCATGCTCACATCGACGAGAAAAGGCTTCAGCAATGATGTCGACCATTTGGTGTGCCTGGCCGATCATTTCCGGACTAAAGTCGGGGTCCGGCGCGGGTGACACATTCTGCCCGGCAGTCCCAGCCGAACAAGCCAGTCTGTAATCGTACAACGTAACCATATAAGTGGATACACGCATGTCGAGATTTTCGTGCGGCATGGCGGGAGGAGACTGTGTTGATCAGGTCGGCAAGGTTCGATGAGATCTTCGGTGGGTCTGTATAGTTTGTACAACAGTCGCATGCAAAAGCTGTGGCTGGTAAATGTCTAGTAATGGTCTTACATTCCCGGAAGATCGGGCAGATCTCCTTGTGATCAGTTCATTATGGGATCTCGGGCCGGACTCTCCGGGGGGGGGTGCATCGTTATCATGATTACGCAGTGATTGAAGTGCTGCATTAGGGCGCATCCGGGCTGCATCCGCAATGCTGAGGGTGTGCACTGGTGGTGTGTGGGATAGGAAAATGTGATTTACCAGCGGCACGAAGGAAAGGAACACACAGACAACCGGCCGACACATATTTCCCGGAAGGAGATACCTTCCACTTGGGTCCGGCCGAGAATTGAATGGACAGCACATTTGTTATCAATTATCACGACCGGCCGCTCGGATATCAGCGGGTTCACAAGGGGTCGGCCGGCCGGTCACAACAATGCGTCCGGACGGCGGCCCACCAGGCATAATTACAGTAGTGCAGTGTCGGCCGACCGGGTGGAGATGCATGCATTGTAGAAAACACGTCGCTGCGGCCGCAATGGGACCGTTGAAACGAGGTGTCGGCCGACCGGGCAATAGTGGTTCCCCTGAAAAGCAATCCCAATGGTGTCGATCCGCGGTCCCTCGGCCGGCCAGAATGCCATGGTTTGCCTAATGGCCGGCCGCCATGGGACCAACGTCCTGTCCGACCGCCGGCCGACGGGGTACAGATGCATCCGGAGCACGCTCGGCCGTCAGGGTGTATATGGTGAGTTTTGACCGTCGGCCGACCTGTGAGCCCCCCAACATCTCACCGTCGGCCGACCCGCGGGGGATGACGGCACACAATGCCAATCCCAGCACACACCCTGCGAGCTCTGGTGGGCGGCCGCGACGGGAACACCATCGCGGTTCGACCCGTCGGCCCATCCGCGCGCGCCCGGATATTTTGACCGTCGGCCGACCCGGACAACAACGGCGGAGTCACACCGTCGGCCGACGTCGGGTGGCCGGGCAACTATAGGCGAATCTCACGTCGGGTGGCCGGGTAACAAACCAGTAGTTTGACCCCATTATGTGCTCTTGTCCCGCATTGTCACACAATCGGTTGCCGAAGGAGAGATCGGGCGCGTCTGGGAAGGGCTCAAGGTGAGTTTCATATTGATCACACCAGACTCGTCACAGTTGCAGGCTTACTGATTCGACAACTTCAGCGAATGCTGTTCAGTTTTGCAGGTTCGTCACACCATAAATACGCAACATATCTCTTGGAGATGGTCTGCAACTTGGAGCTCGAGTCAAGCCCTGCACTCCGTGAATTCTTTCTGCGCAACTGGCTTGTCAACCCGTCTGGAAAGCAGGGCCATTACCAGGCGGGAGACCTGCTACAAGAGCATTACAACCGTGAGCTCGAGTCGTTCATAGGACGTAACGACATACCGTGGGATTCCGACTTCATGCGCAAAGTCGTTTCACCGAATGTCATTCACTTCCTTGACCTCAAAAATCAATGGCGAGAAGGGGTCGGGCTCAAGCCACGACGCAGCAATCATCCGGAACCACATAGCAACCCTGAGGTGAAGATCCTGCTGCAGTCGTACAAGGACACTGATTCTGGCGCCGACCTACATCGCTTCCGTCCTGGGCGGCGCTATGGTATGCAAGCGAAGGAAACGGACACGTTCGGGCATGGCGTGGCCCAGATGCTTAATGGGAAGCTCGCAGAATTTGTTACGAAAACAACACATACTCGCTGTACTAGTAGCACATTGGCCCATGACCAAGGTGCTACTGGTACTACTAGCCAACACGGTGGACTCGGAGAGCCTACGGACTCTGAGGCAGTCACAGGCAATGATGACGCACACGAAGGGGAGCAGTCAGAGATACCGGATGTGGCGCATGAAGCTGAAGACGAGGTATATGATGGCGAAGGTGAGGATGGTATGACAGATGGGCGAGTGGACGTCAGCGATGGAATGCATGTCATTCTCGCCGACGAGCATATTACTATTGCAGACCTAGAGGAAGAGTATGATGATGAGGAACAAAGCGGTGATGAATACGGATACAGTAGTACCTAGACCACTTACCTATTTTCCTGTCTTTCTCCGAGTATTACGCTGAACCAATGACCCGCCTGCACTTCCCCCGCGCTTCCGCTTTGCACTCGTTGACGCACGTGGATTGGCTTCATGAGAAGACCCTTGGAAATCGATCTGACCGTAGAATTGGCCAGGAAGAATCTCCTCAAGTAGCCTGTATCCAATAAGCCCGCTATGCAATGAGCTCGCACTCTGGATGACTCGCTCACCTTTCATGCCGCAGTCCTGCACGGAAGACATCGTTGGCCACGAATGTCTCTAACTGCGCATTGTTGAGTGGTCCCGGAGAAACTGACTGAGATCGCTGTACTGCTTCGAGTGACGCTCGCGGTACCGCCTCGGGTGACGCTCGCTGTACCACCTCGGGCGACGCTCGCTGTACCACCTCGGGCGACGCTCGCTGTACCGCCTTGGGCACCGACACGAGTTGCCGTACCACCTCGGGCGACGCTCGCTGTTCCTGCATCCTAAACATAACAGGTACGTGAGCACTCGTGATGAGAGTATGTTGCTCGATTGTACAGACAATGTTTCGCATCCGACTCCCCGGGCCAGCGAGTTCATGGCCCAACCTTGATCCCCACGGGAAGTGTTCTCGATTGCATTCAAAATCGGCCTTTCAGGACGTGGACGGAGCTCCTGTGACATCTCAGTCTCATTCTCGGAATTGATCTTGTCTCCATCAGCATCAGGCTCCTCACCCACTCGCTCGTCGTCAATGAGCAAGTTGTGTATCGCGCGTTCGCGATCTTCGTCCTTCGCCATTGTCTCAAAGACACTGCGTAGCTCGACAATGACCTCCCAGATCTTGTTGCATTGTCGCTCGACATACGGGTTGCCGGCGATCAGATGGGCGAGATCTTGTTGTGTATGGAGGGTCTTGAACGACTCGAGTATGCTGGTAATGACAGGGTCTGGGAGGTACAGGACGGCAGGAAAGAGGGACGCCTCTAGAGCAGGCGCAGCAGTGTACAGATTCTCGCGCAGGGCACAGAGACGCGCCTTGCCCACAAGGACCATCGACTTGCTGAGCTTCGTGCCTTTCGGAGCAGGGGCTCGCTTCTTCATACGGGTGGGCTGTAGCTGACCGTCTTCAGGGACGCACCCACTGCACTTGCACGCTAGCGGGGTTGGCGGGCGGGGGCGGCGTGAGCAAGTCTCGCAGGAGCAAGATGGGTCAGATGGGGGATTGTCGTAGAGCCGATTTTGCTCCGCTGCCTTGCAAGGCGCAAGGATCATCCTTGCCATATCCAGGCCCATCTTCGCAGGGACACGCTTCCCGTTCTCCGTCACCTTCTTGCCTTCTATCACCGCATGCGCGTGCTTGACTTCCGTTTTAGTCACGTACACGATGCCTCGCGCGTCCTTGATGGTCCCATCGCGGTTCAAACGCCCGAGCTTTTGACACTGCTCATCAACGCTCTCGGGCAGGACTAGTGTCACAACGTCTTCAACTCGCGGGAGATTCACACCAACCATGAGGGTGTCGGTGGAGATGACTATCGAGCATCTGCTGGGTCCCGTGCTCTCCGAGAAGAGTCGAAGCGTCTCCGCATTGTATTCTGGCCAGTTGAGCGAGTTGTACCTACGGACGAAGGCGCGTGTGTTGGTTGTTGGTGGGAGTAAGCGGTGAAGATACTTGATGACTCGAGAGCCGAGATTGATGGTCGGGCAGTATATGAGTGTTTTCCGCCCGCTCTTGACAGTCCACGCAAGGTCCGGGAAGACGGATCCACCAAGACCCGCTGTGAGAGTGCGGAAGATGATGCGGATGTTGGGGCGAAGATTTGAACGACGAAGGAAGTGGAATGCACCATGCTTGAGCCCGAAAAACCGGCAAATCTCGGCTGTATCCGTGCCTGCCGCCAGCGACGCAGTGCAGAGGATGAGCGCAGTACGACTTGGCAGCCGTGCGAGAACGTAGCCCAGCTGTTGGAAGCAAGGGCGGAACTGTGCACCCCAAGACTTGAGTAAGTGGACTTCGTCGACACCAAAGCCGCAGATTCTCCGTGAGAAAGCGGAGCTCTCGACGAGCGACTGGAAACCTTTCGTCGATAGCATCTCCGGTGAGAGCAACAAGACAGCATAGCCGCTGTATGCTGATGTCCAGATGTTCCCGCCGTGCTTATGTGCATCCGTGGACGTTCGACTATTGATTACTAGGGCAGATATGCCCAAATTACTGAAAGTTGTACTCTAATACAAACATTAGCCAGACGAACAATATAATCGCGAGAGCTTACCATTTCTTCTTCGAGGCTGATAGTCGGGAAACACATTATAAGGCAAGGATCGTCAGGAATATTCTTCTTAGGAGGGGTGCAGAGGTGAGGGTTCTTGATTAGAGCCTGAAGAGCTAGAATGTACATAGTAAAGAAAGCAGTCTTTCCCGAACCAGTAGCCAGTACTGCAAGCAAGTCGATGCCGTCCAGCGACTTCGCGACACCCTCGAGCTGATAGTCATGCGGATCAAAAGGAAGGAGAGGGCGGAGGATGCCACGTAGGTTGCGCAGACCCTCGGGGGTGCTGAAACGATAGGGGCTCGCGTCTCTCGACGTGTCCGATGGAGGCGTCAGCATGCAGTCTGCACTCTGTCTCGCGCGAACTCGCACTCAACGCGGCGCGTAGCGCGTTATTTGCCTCTATTATGACGCGCACATGACTCGGTCTTCTCCGAAAACCGCAGGCCCGCCAGATCGTTGCAAGTCGTACAAGACTAAGCGTTTCGCGCTACGCGCGTTGTCCTATTTCGGTCTCGAGATCGCGTTGCTCTGGCCACGTCGCCTGCACGTGGCCCGGGTGGCGGGGAGCCTGTTAAGCGCTCATACATGGCCGGGCGTCGTCGTCGTCGTTGTGCCCGACAGGATCGTGCGTGTTGGGGGGGGGCGCAATGGGCCCTCGTATCATATTCCTCAGAGCTGTCTCTGGGCTTACTGGGTTCGTTGGGTGACAGAGTTGGGGCTTCTGCTCGTTTGGGCTCTTGAGGTCGCCCGAATCGCAGTGGTAGCAGTAGTAGCAGGGTCGCCGCCCGCCGTGGCGGGCGGTGTCGACGGAGAGGTGGTTCGTCCTCAGTGGGCACGTTGTGTACTTCATAGGTACGATGTCATGTACAGACATGAAGGTCCGGGGTGTTTCCCGGCATCGCATTGTGCGATGGTGGCCGCGCACTGCGTGCCACTTTGTCGAGGTCGTTGTGCTCGACAGTGTCGCACTGACACTATTCCCCCCGAATTACTCGGGACGTGGACGGCTTGTTAGCTTCCCCGCTTGCGCGGGTACTAGTCTCCTTGGGCCACGAAGAGGCCAGCCGCCGGACACACCATGGTGGTGGTCCTAGTCCAAGGAGAATTTGGTGTTGACTTACAGTTCAGTTTTGCAGGAACTACATAGCCGCATCAAGAATGCCCAGTAAACGCCTCCGCGCGCTGAACCATTTCCGCATGCCTAAACTCGGAAGTCATAGGATTCGAACAATAGTCAGTCAAGTACATATGTAGTCATGTTCATAAACTCACCGTACAGAAGGGGGAGAACAACAATGCCGCCCACGCAGGCTCGATGAGTTTATCTGGACATGGAGGAAGTGGGCCGTCGATCGTCTTCAGTGACTCTCTCCAGTAGCATGCGGAGCTCTTCACGAATGCAGGGCTTTCGACGTTCGTGAGAGACTGATCAGATCACGCGGGTCCAGACTGAGCAGAAGTATCTGTGCAGGACATTTGTAAGCATAGAGTCAATGATTATCGAAAAGGAGGGAACTATTCAGGCCTTCAAGCTACCTCATGCATGATATCCACCGGCATGTTCAGCAAGTCTGCCTCATGGTACGCGTCGATAGTTGCAAGTGTACTCGCTGCGACAACGGGAGTAGAGCTCTTCGAGTACTTTACTCTCTTCGGGGCCATGTTTGACTGACGAGAGTGAATGATTAATGAGCAACCGCCCGAGACAGAGGCGCGTTCAAGGGCCAGTCACGGTGACCCGGCCAGCTACTTACTACGCGCGACGCGCGACCGTGGGAGGACAGATTCAAGCCACGGTCATGCGATAAGCACGTGAATCGGTCAACGCGCCTGTGGCGGGCGCCGGGCAAGCCGTGCTTTTGAGCCGCCGCACAGTTGGGGTCAAAGATCTCCAGCGAACGCTGCCTCTATTCAGTTCCTGGAGATTGACCGTGGATAACATCGATCTGTGACACAGAGGGGCTCGCTACAAAGCAAGGGCGACACAGGCTGCTTGCGTGGGGTTGAGATATGTTACAGATCGGTGAAGCTGGATATGTAGTACATCGCTTGCACTGGCACCATTTCATGTTAATCCCACTGTGGTTGAAGTCGGCGAGCAAGAGTGGGACAGTGGGTGGTCAGTTAAACTTATATAGCAGCACTCATTGTGAGCTTGTTCATTGGACAATGGCCTCACAGCCACAGCAGCAAATGGCTGCGAAAAGGCTTTGCCAGTGGTCTGGGGCCACGGCGCGACGTCAGAAATTGGTGTGGCCGCGGCGGGAGTTCGGGCGCCTAAGTCCAACTTCGCTCGAATGGACGTTGTCAGAGCCGTAAACCTGTATCAACCACGCTCATATGGACATCAAAGTGGATCTTCCGAAAGAATGGCCCATCGCGCAAATTTGAGTGATTTTCAATCGGATTTGTAGGGATTTGTGAACGAGCAGAAGCACATTCTATACAGCAGAGGGCGGGAATAATCGTTTGTGAATCGACAATTTGTACTTGTTTGTTGCCTGAGTTCGGGACTGGCCGAGCCTGCGAGGGTGGTCCCGGCGTCCGCCCGAGCGCAGCCAAAAATTTGCTCGCTCGAGCGTCTAAGCTCGGGCCCGCCCTTTCGTCTCGTCCACCACCTCGTCTCGTCGCAGCCGTCTCTGCGTCGAGCATACCTTAGCTCTTTTTTAGTACCTACCTTATTCCTGTCCTTATGTCCGGTGGTGGACAACCGGGGGCTCCCCCGGCTCACCTTGGCATCCAGCTGCCTGGCCAGCAGGCGGTTCCCGCTGCTCAACAACAGCCTGCGCAACCCGCCCCTGCTCAACAGCAGCCGCCTGCTCAACAGCAGCCGCCTGCCCAGCAGCCTCCCGCTGCCCAGCCGCAGCCTGCTCAGCCGCAGCCCGCGCAGCAGCAACCAGCACACGCTCCAGCCCCGGCGCCTCCGCGGACGAACCTGTTTGCGGACCCGGTCGACGTGCAGCGTGCAGCGGCCGCCGCCCGACTCACTAGCCGTAAGGTCGTATCCTTACCGCCGGTGCAGGTCGGCCTCAAAGGCGACCCGCTTTCATCTCGTGAGTACTCCCTCCTTTTGTCTGGCCCTTGCGTGCCGCGAGTCTGGAGGGCCCTTCGTGCCTTTGGTATGGGGGGTCCTTCGTACCCAGCGGTCTCAGAGCCTGTCGTGCTCGGGGTCTGGCGCCCTTCGTGCCTTGCCCGTCGGGCTTCTGTCATTGTTGTGGGGACGCCGTTCTCACGCGTTCTGCATAGCCATGCCGGCCAAAATCGACGAGCTCATCGGGCTCTACAAGTACGTCCCGTACTCGGCCTTGACGCCGGCGGCTCGATTGAAGGCTGCGCAGTCGGACGAAGCTTTCGTGGTTGACGCGGATGGGAGCCTCAAACTCCGTGCGCCGGACAGGAAGTCCGAGCGATCCATCTCGCTGGTGGATTGGCTCGACGCTGCGAAGATGGTGGTGACGGCGACCCGCAAGTACCACGGCGAGGACCGTGCGAGGCGCCTGCAGGCACACCACAGCTGGGTGGAGCATATAGCGCAGAGGTTCGGGTGGGAGGTCGCGATCGAGTACGACATCCACGAGCGCGAGGCGGCTGCCGCCGAGACACGCCACGACCTCGCCGTCTACAATGAAAAGCGGCTGCTTACCCTGGTCGCCCAGTCGACGCAGGCGCAGCTGCGCGCGCTCACCAGTGCGCAGCTCATGGCGGGTAGTTCGTCTCAAACCTCTGTGAAGCGAGCGCGAGACAGCGCTGATGGGGGGAGTGCTCCGCGGAAGAAGACATCTATCGCCACGTCGTGCTTTCGCTGCGGACACGCCGGTCACCTCCCCGCTCGCTGCACAGCTTCCTCGACAACTGCTGGCCGGCCCGTCGCACAGCTCGCCCCTAATTCCCGAAGTGGCAATGCCCTCCTTGCAGCAGACGGGAAGCAGTTCTGCTTCAATTTCGCCAAGATGTCACTCTGCCGAGTGTCGGAGTGCTCCAACACCCACGCCTGCAGCATCTGCGCCAGCACCGATCACGGTGCAGGCGGGTGCGCGCACTGCAAGTGACCCGCGACGGGTCGCTACCCCGCTCGATGCCAATAAAATTGAAGCGGTTCTGGTGTCCGCTGGTATCCTCGACCAATGGGCACATGTTGTCGATGGCATCCGACACGGCTTCGATATGGGGGCCTCCGGGAGCATTCCGCGCTCACTCGTCTTTAAAAATCACTCTTCCGTAGAGTTAGCCCCTCATTTCATCTCCGAATATATTGCAGCTGAGCAGGCAGCTGGCCGATACTCGCGCGCGTTTACACCGTCTGAGCTAGAAAGCATCATTGGCCCTTTTCGTACTTCCCCGCTCGGGCTGGTTCCCAAGCCTCGTTCTGACAAATTCCGCATGATCCAGGATCTATCGTTCCCTCGCGACGACCCGCAGGTCCCATCCGTGAATGCTGGGATCGATTCCGACGCCTTCCCGACAGCATGGGGAACCTTCAGCGAGACCGTCGAACTCGTGCTCTCACTCCCGCCTGGCTGTGTGGCGGCGACCTTCGACATCTCGGCGGCTTATCGCGTCACACCGGTGCGGCCAGACCAGCAGCGCTATTTCTGTGTATCATGGCTCGGGCAGGTCTACGTCGACTTTGCTGTGGCTTTCGGGTGCTCCTCAAGTGCAGGCGTGTTTGGTTCGGTCGCCGACCTCCTCGTGGCCATCTACTTAGCCTTCGGCTACGGACCCATCAAGAAGTGGGTCGACGATTTCTTCGCAATTCGGTTGCCCGGGATGTCCTGTACCGAGGACGACTTCATCGAGCTCACTGCTCGCCTTGGCGTACCATGGAGTTTGACGAAGCTCCGTCGCTTCGCCTCCACGCAGAGGTACATTGGTTTCGACTGGGATCTCGATGCCAAGGCTGTCATTTTCCCAGCAGACAAGCTCGCAGCTACAAGCGAGCTCGTGCGCTCATGGCAGGTGCCCAGGGCGGTATTCACGGCCTCAGAGGCGGCAAGCCTGCATGGCAAGCTCGTGCACGCGTCATCAATATTCCCGCTCATCCGCCCATTCCTGCGATCAGCGGCTTCCTTCGCACTCTCCTTCCTGTCACCTCGGGCCCATCGACACCCTCCATCAGCGCTTGTGAAGGACCTAGCCTGGGTCAGCGAGCTGCTGACGTCGCTCCCGCCTTCTATGCCCCTTCAGGCATACACGCCCCGCGACATAGGTTGGTGGGGCGATGCGAGTACCTCGTTCGGCGTGGGAGTGGTAGTCGGCGAGTGGTGGGCTGCCTGGTCCTGGGCGGAAGGTTTCCGCGTCGGCCCGGGTCGAGAGTTCGACATCGGTTGGGCCGAGGCGGTGGCCGTGGAGCTAGGCCTGCACATGGCACTAATGTGCAGGGCAGAGCTTGGTCTCAGCAGCGCGCAGTGCCTACTCGTACGTTCCGACAACGAGGGCGTAGTGAATGTCGTCAACAAGGGACGGTCGCGCAGCCGGAACACCAATGCAGTGTTGAAAGAAATCTACGCACTGCTGGCCTCAAACGCATTATCTCTACGTGCAGAACACGTACCCGGGAGCTCCAATGTCTCCGACGCCCTATCGCGGGGCGACGTGGACGGTTTCCTGGCCGCTTTCCCTGCTGCAAGGCACAAACTCGATGTTCCTTTGCCTTTGCATTTGCGCCCCCGCCTCCGCTCTGTGTAATGCCCGCTCAGGCTCGCCGTCTCGTGCCGGCGGACACGGGTGGAAGCGATGCTAGCCCCTCGGTTGAGATTCTAGCTCCCCTGGTGCTTCAGCCATCAGTGTTACGACCACCGTGCCGGAGCCCATTCAGCCGTCTCACCGAAGGGTATTGGACAGCCGACATGTCGTCTCACAAACATGATGGGGTGGGCCGACGTGGGCCGACCAAAATTGTCTCACCGAAGAGGATGGGGTCGGCCGAGGCCAAGGCAGAGGCAGTCAAGACGGGCAAGACGGCCTTGCAAGGCGGTGTTTAGTAGATATCATAGTTCATACTGACTGGTACTACAATAAAATTGAATGGCATAATAACACCAATGTTAGTGCAATTGTGACCTTCTTGGCTCACCCAAGACATTCCACTGCCCGACCATCGGCTGGGCCACTGTTCCCAACCGATTCTCGCCTTGACCCAGCCGACCTTCTTAGAACCTTCTTGACTTACCCAAGCCAATCCACTGACCGACCATCAGCTGGGCTACTGTTCCCAACCGATTCTCGTCTTGACCCAGCCGACCATTTTGACTCACCCAATACATTGCATGAGCTGAGCGTCGGCTGAGGGGATTTTCCCAGCCAATGTCCGTCTTGACTCAGCCGACCTTCTTAGAACCTTCTTGACTTACCCAAGCCAATCCACTGACCAACCATCGGCTGGGCTACTGTTCCCAACCGATTCTCGTCTTGACCCAGCCGACCTTCTTAGAACCTTCTTGACTCACCCAAGCCCACCCATTAACCAACCATCGGCTGGGCCACTGTTTCCAACCGATTCTCGTCTTGACCCAGCCGACCATGTTGTCTCACCCAATACAATGCATGAGCCGAGCATTGGCTGAGGTACCTTTCCCAGCCGATGTCCGTCTTGACTCAGCCGACCTTCTTGGACCTTCTTGACTCACCCAAGCCAATCCACTAACCAACCATCGGCTGGACCACCTACCCTGGCCGATGGCCGTCTTGACCCAGCCGACCATTTTGTGCATGTTGATTGGCATTGCCTATTAGCCATTGTAAGTTGGCTTGCTAAGGTAACTAATGGTTAGCTCATGCTTGTCAATACAGATGTGCCAAGGAGCAAGGAGATGTCAACGAGGAAACTGATGAGCCTGAGATGGAAGGTCTCAAGACAGACAGTGTGAGGGGATGCCAAGACGGGCTAGTTCATAGCAGAGTGTATACTAGTCTGAGCTCTTGTCAAGGCGAAGAATATTGTGTTCTCAAGACGGAGCATTCTCAAGGCGGAATGGATGTTGCCTCCTTAAGACACACTTGTCAAGGCGGAGTGCTCAAGACGGAGTGCTCAAGACGGAGTGCTCAAGACGGAGTGCTCAAGACGGAGTATTCAAGATGAAATGTTCAAGGCAGTGTGTTCAAGGCGGTGTGTTCAAGGCGGTTCAAGGCGGTGTGTTCAAGGTGGAACATTTGCATGTTGTTCAGAGCTTATGGTCTCAGTGAGTACGTGTATTGATGTATGCTCTTTCTTTTACATTCATTGCTTTCAGATTCAATGGCATGGATGTAGTACTACTCTGAGTTCAAACATGTCCTATATGTTCTATATGTGTTTACAGAGCTACATGTACATTAGGCCTTGTTAGGCCAACCACTTACATAGACCACTGAACTCATTGTCCTATATGTAAAGAGTACTTTGGCATTGTGTAATCTTGGCTTTTACAGAATTAGGATCTCAGGACAGATCTCAAAATGATATGTTGTTTGGAGATACTGGGAGGCATATAGATTAGTTCGCAGCTTCTGCAAGACAATTGTCACAATTGAGTGCATACAGAAGTTTTATTCATGCTGTGTCCATGGTATATGTTGCTGCTAACAATACTCCAACGCAATCTGGCAATGTTGAAGCTTGAGATAGCCAAGAAGGTTATACATGCAGAGCACGTCTTAGACAAACACATCCCACGGTTCAATTCTCACACAAATTTATATAGGCCATGTACTATATATAGATATGCTTGGTACAAAGTTTCATAGCATATGGTGGCACGGGGGTGAAGTTATAATGAAAAGAACATCATCCCAGTGGCTCGGGGATATGGCCGAGGCAATGCCCGAGGGCAAATCACTGGAGAGTGTTTGCGTATTTAGTGACCGTGCTCCTACTACTCACACCAACTTCATGTACATATCATCTGGTTGTCCACATCATTGTACTTCTATGTCATTGAATACTAATAGAGGTTGTACTGGACATATGATCACAGTATTCTGAAGTGTATATTCACTAGTGGAATCACTACCAGTACAGTACAATTACGAAAAATGTACATGCATATTGGATCAAATGACGATGAGTTCATTGCTCGGAGTGAACCATCATATCCATACAGTGACAGACAATGATCTCAATACCCATCCTAGTATGCAAGCAAGGCTGGTATATTGAGCATACCTCATTGCAACATATGACACCTGTGAGGTAGTAGCCTCACTCATGCTCTGTCTCGTCCAAAACTGCCCACAACTATTCCAGGAAACAAGTCTAGTTTAAGTAATTTCGTGTGAGACAGTGAAATGGCAGGTGTGCAAGACAGTGCATGGGTCGGGACACCTGTCAGGTGAGACAGTAGGCAGCGAGATGGCACACGAGCGGGACAGTAAGTGTGCAAGACAGTCAGTGAGCAAGACGGTCAGCAGGCAAGACGGTCAGTAGTACTTCCATTTGTAGTATCCTTGTAGCACTGGGGTCTGCCCATGGAAGACAGGAGACGAGAGTCCAGTACAGCCCAATGGCTACCATGACATTTCATTGCACGGTCACGACTCACTACACGCAGTCATCACGAACTCAACCAGCCTGGTCACACGCATCATGACGGTCATACCAGCTGTTTGGCGGTGATCCTCATGTCGAACCCATTCCAAATCTCGCTTAGTATCTACGCCGATGTCGGTCTTCCGCGCAGACTACAAAGCCCACGGCGTGTCTGTACTAAGTATTGCAGCACCGGCTTGCGGGTCAGGCGTCCGTCTCGAGGTACGTGCCGACTCTACCACTGGCAGGCAAGACGGTTGGCGAGCAAGACGATGATCAGTGGGGCAAGACGGTCCAAAGCAGGCAAGACGGGGGCGCACCAGGATCGTGCGGCACCTCGACGAGACTTACCCCGTCATGCTCGTGCTCCTCTCCACTGACACGCGTGCGCTCCAGGCCGGCTTCGTGCAGGTGTTCACCACCAAGCTGCACCAGAATTTCATGCTGCTGATGCTGCATGCCATCGCGACGGCGCTGAGCTTGCAGAGTGCGGAGTACTTCTTCGAGACGCGCGAGACACCGCTCGAGTGCAAGTTGGAGGAGCTCAGCCCGCCCGGATTGGAGAAGGGTGCAGAGCAGTCACGGGTGATCGCGGAGAAGGTGTTCGGCATCGTGGTGTCGTGATTCGAGGCGGGTGGTGATGGAAGGCTGTTGCTGAGCAGTGGGAGCCCTGACTCGGACGGCGACGGCGGCAAGGTAACCCATGCCGACACGTATGTCGCCGGAGTGCTGATCTGGTAAGTCCCTGTGAAGTGAGCCAAGCAATCGTCGTGTGGCGATGATCGTGCCAAAGCGTTGAGCGGATAGTGTGTGCGAGCAAGACAACATGCAACTCACAAGCGAGACAGCATGCAACCGGGACGGTGCACTACCAAGGTAGTGCGCAAGCAAGACGGCGGGCAACCAGGACGGCGCGTAAGCAAGACGATAGATGTGCAAGACGGCGCTCGCGAGCAAGACGGCGATACATGAGCAAGACGGGACACGAGAAAGCAACTCAAATGCTCACCCTCTTTTCTGCCCACCCTCTCGCTCGCTCGCCCTTCCACCCTCTCACCTGCGTGCCATCCTCAGACGCACTTGCCGGCCCTTTCACTCGCTCGCTTGCCCGTGCGCCCGCCTGCTCTTCCACTTACCTTCTCGGCTGCTTTCCCGTCCTCTCGCTCGCTGGCCCGTCCTCTCACTCGCTCACCCGACCTCTCGCTCGCTGGCCCGACCTTTCACTCACACGCCTGCCCTCTCGTTCGCTCGCTCACTCACCCTCCCACTCACCCGCAGCGACGAGTTACTCGTCCAGAGACTCGCCACCTATGGACTCACGGTGAGCAATTTGCTTCCATGACGACAACGACCTGCACATACCTGCACGTCCTCTGTACCCGCCACAGCGAGTTCAAAGTTGAAGCGTCCAGAGTTCGGACGCCTGAAGGTAGACCCGGGCTCGGGCGGCGGTGGTGGTCACGAGTAGGACGGTTCGCGCGAACAGTACGGTGTGTAACGAGTACAGCGCGCAGCTAAGACAGCCCGGGTATGCGAGCAGCACGGTGTGAGCAGGATGGTGCGCCGAGTCAAGACGGTGCGCAGGCAAGACGGTGTGCACGAGCAGGACAGCGCGCGAGTAAGACAGCACCCGAGAAGGAAATTGGGTCGCCAAGACAGTATGCCAACAGAACGTTAGACGAACAGGACGGCGGGCAAACAAGACGACGCGAGGGCAGGACGGTGGCACACGAGCAAGGCGGATGCATTCCCAGTGAGCCGACGCCTTGATTGAGCCAGCCGACGCTTCGAACTCACAAACAAGCCCGGCTGGTCGATTCACACTATCAATTGGGATCACGAATCCCGATTACATTGCACCCAGGTAAGTACATTATGTCTACGTCGGCTGCACCATCCTCATCGTACAAGCCGACGCGTCGGCCGGCGTAGGCTACTCCCATGACATTCCGCGAGACGGCACGTCGGCTACAGGATAGGCTTCGGGTGAAAAGGGCTGCATGGTGTGCGTGCCGGGCGGACGAGCACCTTTTCTTATGGAAGGGTGTACGCTCTCCGCCACCGTCGACGATAGCGGACCCTACTATCAAGCATCTGCAGGACTTGTCGGTTCGTGAGTCACTTCGCGACACGAAAGGATATGGTTCCGCCCTCCGCAAGTTTCACATCTTCTGCGATATTTTCTCAGTTGCGGAGGAAGACCGCCTGCCTGCGTCATTTGCAGTGCTCAACTCATTCGCATTATGGGCCCTAGCCGACCCTCAGCCGGGTGATGTCGGCCTGATTGGAGGCCCCGCGTTCGAGCCAGTAAGTCGGGATGTTGTCAGGAAGTACCTGGCTGGTGTGCGTGCCTGGCATTTGATTCAAGGCTGGCCAGCACCACTGTCCTCGGACGACCATGCGAGGATCGATTTCCACCTCCGCGGTCTTGAACGGCACGTCGGTGCACGCAGGAAAGCCCCACGCCCGCCTGTCACGGTGCCGATGCTTGGCGCCTTACGGGCGGCACTCGACCTGTCAAGTTCGTTCGACGCCTGTGTGTGGGCGGCCGCGACCTGCGCTTTCTGGGGGCTCATGCGCTTAGGAGAAGTCACCGTACCAAGCCGTGCTTCGTTCCGCGCAAACAAGCATCTCACACGCAAGGACGGACTGATCTCGCAGGACGTCAATGGCAAGGTCTATGCACAGCTCGACCTGCCCTCAGCGAAGACAGCACGCGAGGGCGAAACCCAAGCTGTCTACCTCGTTAAGCAGGGCGAGACAGTATGTCCCATCACCGCATTGCAGAATCTAATTGCAGTGGTGCCTGCAGGCCCCGATGACCCTTTGTTTTCGTGGCGAGACAGCACGGGCGCTGTACGGCCCCTAACTCGGGCAGCCGTCCTTCGGCGTGTCAACAGCATCTTCACCGCCCAAGGCTGGGGCACCTCGTTCGGGCACTCGTTTCGCATCGGCGGTGCCATGTTCTTTCTCGCGCAAGGTGTCAGCCCGAGATAGTGCGCATACAGGGCCGCTGGAAATCTGTGGCATATCAGCTCTATGTGCGCGCCTTCGAGCAGGTTGCCTCGCAGCACCTTGCTCTCCGCTCGAGTGCTCATGGTCTGTAGAGTGTCGGCTCTTTTGGGTTGGGCTGGCGGCGAGTTCGCCGCGGGTCGCCTCGCTCTTGGTTGGGTAAGCGGCTCTCTCTCCGCGTCCGTTCCCGGCTAACGCTGTGGTGATTGCGAGTCCCCGGTGCGTGGACGACGCGGAAGGGAATTCTTGGTATCAGTGAAAACGATGGGCGGGGGTCGTTGGTACCAGTTGACGGTTGGCGGAGGAAGCGAGCGAGGTCCGTGGTACCTCGCGGAGGGAAAAGGGGAATGGGGAGGTGTGCCGCACGCTTCGTCCGCGCTGTCCTTTAGTGAAGACTGCCTTTCCTGAGCCTGGTATACTCGATAGCCTTCCCTCCGACGTTCCTAACCTGAGTTCTCCTCGATCCTGAGCCTGAGCCTAACTTATGCGACCTTCCTTAGCCTGAGCGCGAGCCTGAGACGAGACCTGAAGCCTGAGATTGCCCGGCGCAACCTAGATACTGAGTCCTGAGAGGTAGTGGTAGGTGACTAACTCCTCCCTCCCTCTCCCCCCTAAGTCTCCTCCCGCCGCCGTTTTCCCACGTCCTACCCTCGCTGGCACCCGTTCCTCTCCTCTCCCGTTCCTTCCGCACCCGCCGCGTCTCCTTCCGACCCCTCGCCGTGCCCTTCTCCAGCTCCTTCCGCCCCCTCCGCCTCCTCCCGACGCCTCGCCATACCCTTCTCCAGCTCCTTCCGCTCCCTCCCCCTGGCTCTCAGTGTTTCCCCACCGTCTGCAATGCCCGCCGATGCTCCCCCGAACCCGTCCACCATCGTCTTCACCACCCGGTTCTACCGCCTCATCGATCTTCTCCGTGACGAACGCGTAGTCGAGCCTCGTCTGAACCCCGATAGCGACCACGAGTGGCTTGCCTGGGCCCACGGAGCTCGGTGGTTAATCGTGCGTCTTTCCCTTCATCCTGATTCCTGATCCCCCTCTAAGCCGTCCTCCCCGCAGCGAATGCTCTTCGACTCTCGTTCCCGTGCAGTGGCCCACGGCGATGCTTCCCTTCCGCTCGTCCGCCGCTATCCCGACGTGCAGGAGCTGATCGAGTACCTCGACCAAGTCTTCCTCACTCTTCCGTCGCAGCATAGCTACGTGGGCGAACCCTTCCCTTTGATTGCCTGGGCCCCGAATCGGGTCACCGCCGAGCAGGCTGACGCAGAGATTGGTCGTCCCCTCCTTCCGGTTCGCTACTTGGAGCGTCCCTTACAGCTCTCGTCCTACCGCGCTTCGTCCGACAGCCTCGACAGCCTCCTTACTCGGTTCCAGGGCCTCCTAGACGAGTGCCGCACCGCTAACCGCGACGCTCGTTCCGAAGCTGTTCGTATCGCCCGAGGCCTGAATACGGTGGAGGGCGGTGTTCGCGACTTGCACGCCCGCCTGTCGGAGGGAGTCTACGTCCCGGACGGCTACTCTGGGGTACCTCGCCGCCTGCGGTTCGCGCCGGTTAGGGATGTCGATGATCTGGAGGAAGGAGAGGTTGAGGACGCCATGGGGGAGGAGCCCGTTGTCCATGTACTGTAGCCGTCTTCCTCCCGCGTGTTCTTATATTGGTTGTCCTTCCGCCGAGTCGTCCTTCCGCCAATGGATGTCGCTTCGCTCCGCATTGCCTGGGCCTGAGTGCGTGTGTCGTTCCGGGCTCGTACCGCTGTTCCCATGTGGGCCTGCCCCACATCTACCCCCACCTTGAAATTCTGACCGTCCCCGGTCAGACTCTCATTCTTCCCGATATGGTACTCCTACGCCGCCTTCAGGATCGTCCCAAGTCTTGAGCGATCGGTGATCGATCACGGCCTTCTGCTCGCCTTGCTTCTCTAGCGCTTCGTCCGACGCGTTGATTGGCCGGGATAGTCTCTTGATCGGGGAATCTTCTTCCGATCAGTGTGGCTGGGCCTCGTCTCCCCGCGTATAAGGCTCGCCGCACTCCTGCTCCTTCGTGCTCCTTCCTCCTCCCTCCCATCTCCTGTCACCCATGTCTCGTCCTTCCCCGTCTCCTTCTGCCACTCTGGACTTCACCGCCGGTCTCCCCGACGAGGACTATCCAGTCCGCCTTGCCGCCTCCGCCGAACTGGTCTCCCTTGAGGCGCGAATCAGCATCGTCGCCGCTCGAGAGCCGACCATGGGCCGCCATCCATCGCACGCGCAAGCGGGCGCGTGGTTGATCTGGGGCCGCCAGCTATGTTACGCCTGGGTGAGCACCTCCGATACCTATCTCCCTGTCCTCCATGCTCACGGGTCCTCCAGGCTGTGTACGACGTGCACCTCGACTACGTCCTCACCAACGGGCTGTTTGAGACGCGTTTGCGTCCCGAAACCGAGGCCGCCTTGGACGCCTTCTGGGAGCGGCTGGACGGCTTCGCCAGCCAGCCCTCCCGGTACCAGGGTTCCCTCCAGACCCTCCGGCAGGAGGCCCAACTGCGTGGCCGCCGGTACGGCTCGACCGGCTACTGGGCCGGCACCACCTTCGAGCTCTCCCCGGCCGTCCTCGCCACGTCCCGTCGTCCCGCCTCTCGCGCTCCGTCCCATCGCCCGTGCCTCATCCGTCCCCTCTCCCGCCACCGCCGCGCATCTGTCTCCCGTCTCCGAGCCTCTCCGGTCGCCGCCCACGAACCTCGACCTCCGTCCCCTCTCGAGTACGACGAGCCAATGCCTGAGCCTGCGGCCCAGGACGGGCCTGTTCCCCCGCCGCCGTGCATCTCGCGGCCCTCGAGGACGTTCCGGCGCCTGAGCCCGCCCTCTCCGTGGCTGGGCCGTTCGGGTTCCCTTTCCCTGAGCCGGCTCCCTCCGCCCCCGGCCATTATGCCCGCGCGTCCTCGCTCGCGTTCACCGAGCGGGACCCTTCCGTCCCTCCTCCCGTTACGCCCGCGCGTTCGCCGCCACCCTCCTCTTCGCCTCTGTTCACAGAGAGAGGCACGCCCGTCGCGCCCCTTCCTCTGTTCGCGCCATCGCCCTCACCTCCCATCGCGCCGTCCATACCATCTCCTCCCCCGGGCCTCCGCGCGGCACCGCCCTGTCCGCGCGCCACCGACTCCCCCTCCGATCGATACCATCGAGGATGACGCCCTGGAGCGGTCCATGTCGCCTCGCGCGTTGGAAGAGGCGATTTTCGCCAGCAACATCGGGACCCGGCTCTACCGCCCAACCCAGCCGTCCCCTCCTCCCGCTCCTCGCCCGTCTCGCCCGATGCCGCGTCGTGTCCTCCTCAAGCTTCCGACCACGGAGGCGCTCCGCCTGCTCCCCTTCGCCGACAATCCTCCTTCCGTCCCCCGCCCTCCCCGACAAGTTCCCTCCGGTGCCGCAGCGCACTTCCAATGCCGAGCGCCCGCGGTACGGGCCCTACGTGTACTCTCCGACCACCCCTTGCCCTGAGTGCCGTCGAAATCGCTTCCGGTGCCGCATCGACGCCCTTCCGGGCCACGCATGCGCCGCGTGTAGTTCCCGGAAGAAGAGGTGCGCGTTCAGTGCCTTTAGTGAGTCCCTTTTCCGCCTACCGTCCTTACTTACTCATCCCTTGCTTTCCAGAGGAAGGGGCGCCAAGCTTCTTCTATATAGCCACCATCCCGACCTCCTCGGTCCGCCCTCGCCTCTTACGACTGGGTAACCACCCCAGGAGGCACCCTCGTCGGTCCCCGTCCTTCGGATATCCGAGCCGACTTCCCCTTCCGCGTGCTCCAGCGCCGCCTACTCGACCTCCCGCTCCTTCTGCATCCCCCGAGCCGGTCGCTGGTCCCGCAGCCTCCACCCGCTCCCTTGGCCATGCCCGCCGCTCCTCCTCGCCTCCGAACCGTCCAAGATCGACTCGATTGGATGGCCAGCCGTCTGGGGAAGTCCGGCAATTCTTCCGCCGCCCGGTATGCTCGGCGCCCCCGAGATCCCCGACCCGAAGATGAGCACGACGAGCTGGAGGAAGATGTCGAAATGGAAGGTCCCGGAAGCCTGAGCGTGAGTTTGAGTCGGAGGAGGGCCAGTAGGTATGTAGTAGTGATCCCGCAGTAGTCCCTCCCTCCGATGTACCTCCCTCCGTCCAAGTCCGCAATTGTACAATGTATCCCTGCTTACCCCCCCCCGAGCCCCGCTGACCACGCCTTGTTCGTCCACCCGTGTGATAAGCTCCCCGAGGCCGCGCACTCGTTTCCTCACTGGCCACCGGATGGCTGCCCCTTGATTCCCAATCGCCTCGAGGCTTCCGCCCTGTACAATCACCTCGAGGCTTCCATCCTGTGCATCTAGCTCGTTGATCACTTTGATTTCGAGTGGTGCCGACGCCTCGAGGCTACTGATCCTCCTCTTCCCCTTCCACTGTCCGCTCCTCCCCATTATCGCCATCGATCTATGCTTGCCTCGGGTATGCGAGTCGTCCATCCATCCCATCTCCCACATCGTTCTTAACTCGTGCCCCGAGCAGCTATCCACCCTGCACATCGCTTTCTCCCTGCCCCTCTTTCCTCCGCATGAGCGGCCTTCAGACTCGCGTCCCCTCCGCCGCTCGCCGCCTCCCCAGCGTCGAGCGTCGTCCCTTCTTCGATCCGACGATTCCCCTTCCGTTCCCCCCGTCGCCTATACCAGTTGATCCCTCCGCCCGGTCCACTCTCGGCCTCCCCGTCGAGGAGCGCCTCGCTCGTCTAGAGGCCTCTTCCGCGTGGCAAACCCGCCAGCAGGAACGAATCTGGAACGAGTTTGTCGAGTTCCGCCGCACCGTCAACGCGATGCTCGAGGCCCATGCGCGGGATATCGATCGCGGAGACACCCGCATCGCGATCCAGGTCAACGGGCTCCTCGACCTGTTCCTAGAGCACCGCCGGAACTACGAGTACCATCTTAACACCCAGCGCCGCCTCGAAATTCGTGCCGGCTTCGATCGCGGGACCGTCGACCGTCGCCTCGAT